TAAGTAAATAAATTTCTTATGCAATTTTTTTTTTCAGTTTTCTTATATTATAATTTTAACTTGTGAAGTACTTTTATAATAATAGTCTTATCCTGATACAAAAAAGTGTTTAATGCTACACTCTCAAGCCTTAATCTGATTTGTGAAATTTTGAAAAAGATCAAGCTACGGAAGAGCAGTTGAAAGTACAAAAGAAAAGAATCGTCGTTGGACAAATAAAGAAAAGGAACGTTGTTTGGCAAATGGGCAAATGAAGGAAAAACATTTGAGGACATTGACGACTTATTAGCTAGAAATAAAATTGATCTTGAAAATTTTGAAGACAAATATACAATTCACCAATCTGGTACTACCTATGTGCCATCTGTATCTGCATCTTCATCAAATGATAATAAGAAAAAACTATTAGATATAAATGAGAGAGTATAACTCTGTATATTATATTGATATATGAGATATGAAGATATATAGGGATTTATATAGGTGACGAGATGTATGGAGAGCAAGAAACTTAAACCCTACATGGTAAACTTATACATGGTTAGAATATATTATAGAAAATATTATTTTTATATTGTAAAATATATTCTAACAAACTCCCTCAAAATCAAGGTGGATTGAATAAAACTATCTTGAGTTTGGAAATAATTAAGATCTTGAAAGCGGCATGGCAGAAAAGATTTGGTGAAGATGGGTTTTCACCCATGATGAAGATGGAGACACGATTAACAACTGACGTGGCAGGTGATGTGGATCTACTGTTGGCACCGATGCTGATTGTGTCTGACATGGTAACTGACGTGGCAGGTGACTTGGCACTATTGTTGGCACCTCAGTTGTGTGGCAACTAACGTGGTAGGTAACGTGGTACAACTATTGGCATCGTTGTATAATGCCTCTGGCGTTGCACCAATGCTAACATGTCAAATGACGTAGGGTGGATTTGTGAAGATCTTGGAAGTAGGTGCAGAGCGTGAATAAATTGACGTTGTCATCCCCGATGGTAACTACTATAAACTGATGGTGATGAATTTGTGAAGATTCACCACGTTGAAGGTGTGTGTGAGCGTATGATGATCAATTGACCACTGATAGCGAGCGGTGACGAAGCTGATCTGACACGATGAGGCGAGATTACCGCCATTGCACGTAAAAGTGCATAGAAGAGTGGGATTACCACTTGAGGCGCATGGTGACCATTGATGACGTGTTGGCAGAGCTGATCCAATACGTTGAGGTACAGGATTACCACTGGTGCGCGTGAAGGCGCATGGAAGAGTAGGATTACCACTTGAGGCGCATGGTGGCATGGTGACGGAGCTGATCTGATATGTTGAGTATCTCTGAACAAGGCATCTCATTAAACAACGAGACTTTCGTATATGGGGCATCCCTAGGCGTAGCTTCTCTGAGTTATCTCGTTGGGTTTCCCGAAGGAAGACTTAGACAATGAGGCTTCCCTGGACGGGGCATATGAAGATCTTTATGAACATCTTGGAGTGCGGAAGTGTGTTGGTTGACCGCCGTCGCCGATGATGGGGCTAATGGTGCCATCCCTAGCGGTGACTACGATAAACTAGTAGATTGTTTACCAGAGATCGAAAGGCTCTGATACCATGTTAGAAATAAAGAGAGAGTATAGAACTCTATATATTATATTGATGTATGAGATATTACATAAAATTCCTATATATAGGAAAAGGTTTGGGGGTAGGTGAGTGATGAACAAGTAACATATATATGCTAATATGATAAGTGCACTCACATATGGTAATTTGTAATATGCAATAAACCTAGATGGTAGGTAAATGGGTAAACTTGTAATCTAACAATCCAAAACAGATGATCTTAACAAACATATCGGTAATATTACAAGCACGATGAACAAAATTGCAAGTGCTCTTGATAAAGCTAATGTCGTGGCTGAGAAAGGCAAACGTTGATTTTATTCAAGGAATTGACAATACCATTCTATTTGCTGCTTATGAGTTTCTTATTTTGAATCCGGTAGCCTGAAAGATATTTTAGATGCCCAATTCATAAGCGTAAAGACAGAGCCGGCTCAATACAATTTGAGGCCTTAGGCCAAAAAAAATAAAGTGGCATTTTAATTAAATCTATCCATATATTTATGTTACTAATATGCTAATTATTTGTTTAGTTATTTTTAAACCTATCATTAAAATTTTTCCAAACTCTAGTTTCATCAGTAATTAATTGGCTATATACTTTCTAATAGTCATATTTAACAATATAAATAAAAATTATAAACAAAATATATAATTTTATGATAACAAAAATTAATAAAACTATAAACTAATTTAAGTTATAGAATAATAAAAACTGATTTCGAATAATTTGGTTTAATGCTCCAATAAATTCTTTAATAGAATATAAGTGTATTCAAAATCTTCTCACGGAGTGAGATTGTGAAATTGTAAATTGTAACCTCGGATAAGATGAAAAAAAAAAAAAAAAAATTATAATGAGAGAGGAGAAAAAATATGTGAGGAATAAGAAAAAAAGAGAAAATAAAAATTAATAGGAGTCTTATAAAAATATAGAAAGTTTCACCAATTTTCACTTATATATATATATATATATATATATATATATATATATATATATATATAATATTTAATTTTAATGTGTGTGTGTATATGCTGATGTAATGAGGATGAGAGAGAGAATAAAAAATATAAAAAATAATAATATAAGATAGAAATATTTTGGGCACACTGTTAAATTTTGTATTTGTTGAGGTTTAATAATATAAGAAAATAAAATATTTAGGTAAGTTATAATATATAAAGGAAAAAAATTTGGGGGCCTTCAAAAAAAAGATAAAGAATAGAAATCTATTAGGTTAACTGTCAAATTTTTCTATATTTGGAAGTTTAATAATTAAAGAAAATACTATAATTGTTTTAGGAAAGTTATAATATAGAGAAATAAAAAATTATGGGGCATTCTTATTGGCTGGGGTGTTAGGCGAGCCGGCCCTGCGTAAAGATTGGTTGTCGAAAATAACTATGAAGCCTTAGATGGTTTTTTTTTTTGTTTTTTGGTTGCTTTATTTATTATTATTATTATTATTATTTTCATCTTTAAAGCTAATTCAGAGAGCAAGGCTAATTCAGAGAGCAAGATAAAGTATTTTAGTTCATATGGGGATTTATTTAGGTTTCCTTTGGTTAGATAGAATCAACGGGAAAAGAAAGAAAATTTTAAAACTTTTTTGGAGTTTGGTTAGATAAAGGAGAAAAAATTCTGAAAAATTAGGATTCCAGTGGAAGCCGATCTTTTTATTTTATGTTCCCATTTTACCCAACAATTTCATTGATGTTTGGAGGCCAACAACACGTTTTTTTACTTTGTTTCAAAGTATTGCAGTCCAACAACAACTTTATCATTGATAGGGGTTTGAATTAACTTAACTTCTATTTCTAGTTATTTTTCATCATATATGGAAATCAAAGTAATTTGCAAGTTCTAAATTAATTAAAAATTTCATTTTATACATGACTACTAATTAATATGATATTTTTCTACAATTTTTTTTTTAAAATAAATTTTCTTTCTAACCATTTATGTTAAAAAATTAATTTTCTTTTTATTTATTTTATTTCAATTTTTTTTATTTTTTATTTATTTTTTTATTATTTTCATCTAATCAAACTAAGCCTTAGATATTTTATTTGTTGTTGGAATTAATAATTCAAATAAAGTTCGAATATGATGTTATGGAAAATTTGACATATGGTATTGGTCGGGTAGCCTCGATTGTGCTCTACCAGCACGGTAAAAGTATGAAAAACACAAGGATAAGAGGCCCATCTTTGAAGTGGTTTCGGTAGAAGACCCGAGGAAAGAGCGAAGCAATTACCCATAGATTGACTGACTGGCCAGAGAAAGGCTTCAAAACCTAAGATTAACGCATAGATGGGTAAAACCATTAGAGAACGTGACTTAAATATATTCGATTTCACTTTTTTAAAAACACATGGTAACAAAATATCGTGTAATTATATGTATTATAATTTATATATTTTTGTGTATATACTTATATTTATAATAGAAGCCAAAATTTTAAAATTAAAAGAAGTTGTAACATTAAGGGTTCCGATAATATAAATCACTTAATATGTAGGATAATACTTAGTACTCTTCGGTGAGGATACTCCAGATGAGAATGTACTATATTTTCAGACTTGGACTAATAAAAAATAAATATATCATTTTTAATTACTAAATTAAAGATGGTGAGAGGATATTTTTAATTACCAAATAAAAATTGGTTAGGTATGTATAACTTATCACTATTATTCTTTGACAGTTTTTATTTTATATAATAAAAAATGATGTGTCTATTTGTTATTGGTCCTGCGATAATGATGAAGTACATCTCATTAATGAGATTTAAGTGTTGTCATAATATGTGGTTTGAGTTGCAAAAAAAAAAAAAAAATTACCATAAAAATTGTGGTTTAAGTGGCAATTTCTGGCAAACATGGTAAATTGATACTAAACATTACTTCCATTCTATTTCATTCCAATTTAATTAAAATTTCAATATATTCCAAATATATAAATGAAATTCTATTTTAGTTCCAGTCCAGTTCTTTATCCAATCCTAAATCTAAATCTAAATCCCAAAAGATTTGGTTCCAAACAAAGTGTCAAATTTGTTCAATGGTCTTCACCAGAAAAAATGCAGTAATCAACTTCCGAAAAAAAGAGAAAGGATAAAATGCAATAAATTAATTTTGTAGTAGATCTAATCCGGTCAAAGTCTTACGGGTCAACCCACTTGGGCAGCCCGAGTCGATCGAAACAATTTTGATATAAATCGCATCAGTGTACCGTAATATTTGCTGCGGGGTTGTCCGGACTTCTAACGTGGCGGATTCTAATTGGTAGACTTCACGTGGCATTTGATATCATTGGTTGGAACAACTCGACGCCACTCTTCTTTAGATCTATATATCTATACACTCACGACTCTCGAAGAGTACTAAATCGAGAGTCTCTCTTCAATCAGATTCAGATCGATTGGATTTAGGGTTAGGGTTTGATAATCCACGTCTTAGATTTGGTAGTAATTTTGAAAATTGCAGGGTAGATTGTTCCGATGGAAGGAGGAAAACGAAGCAGGGCTTACCTGCAATTTGTTCTGCTTCTATTGGTCGCTTGCTTTGCGTCCCAGCTCTACGCTTCTTCCGATGTGGTGAGAGATCTCAGTTACATGTGTATATACGTATATATAGACAAGCACATATGTATTTATGGCGTTATAAATTTGTTTTTTTTTTGTTTTTAACCTTGTAGATCTTTGCTGAGTCATTTGATGAACCGTTCGATGGGCGTTGGATCGTATCTCAGAAGGACGATTATAAAGGTATATATATATATATATGTATTGTATTTGTTATACTTGGATCTTTTTCATACTAGTAATTAAACTAAGAATTGTTCTCTTTGTATACGTGAATTCATTGATGTTTAAAATGATTGGATTTGTTGTTTTATTGATTGAATTGAAGTGTGTGTTTTACTAATTTCAACCAAATTTAGTGCAATCCTGCCTTTAGATGTGAGTACAAAAAGTGATATATGGGGTCCAATCTTTTTGGAAACGATCCTGTTATTAAGAAAAATAGCACGATGCAGTTTTTTGATTTTTACATGGAAATGATTGTGTGAGTGTTAGGTTGTTAGTTTGATGACTTGCAGCTGCATTGAAACATTAAGATCAGTTGGGCAACTTCTGCTTGCTAAACAAGAACCTTTCTTCTGTTGAATTTTGAGCTAGAAAAAGGCATTGTGGGGCAGCTCCTGAGTTTGCCAAATATACTTTTTCACCTTTTGTTAGTGTATCTAGTTGTGATTTAATTGGATGGATTTCGATAGTGGTTTGAATGCTGTGGCTTTACTCACCTTTTTACTATCAGCAGCATTTCCAATATTCTTTTGGCAAAGATTATCCAAGGAAAAAACGGTGTTTTTTAATTTTTGTGATGTATTTGTATCACATTGGTTTTGGAGATAGGTTAGGTGGAACTAAGGGAATTAATTTTGGTTGTATAAAATGGATGAAAATTTCATTTCCCATACCTCATCAACTCTTTCAAAATAGATGCAGAACCCATTGTAGTTTTTACTTCTTTTAAATGTAATGTATTTTTCGTTTTTGCTGCATTATTTTTTTCCTGCATTAGTCGGATTGATAGATTAATATTGTTTACTTGCTACTCAAGTATACATATAATTGTCAAACTTTTTTCAGTCAGCATTTTGGTTTTTTGTTGGAACAGACTGAGCTGGTATTTTAGAACGATCACTGTTTCTGATTTTCTTGAATAATGCCAAAATTTAGTTCAATGCTTAATATCGGTTTGCCAAATGAAAAACAGTTTAGTAATGAATATTGATTAGTCAAATAATGTTTCAGAATATACAAAAGAGAATATTAGTGTCTCAACAAAGAAAAAGAAATGCCAAGATGGATTCTTCATTTGTTACTAAATTTTGAGTTGAGCCTCAGCTCAAGTGTTGTCTAATCCCATGTGTAAGATCGAGGGTGTAAGCCACCATTGGGGCAATAGTAGGTGTTTCTGTGTGTGTCGTACTTACCAAAACAAGTTGAAAAATTTAGTTAATAAATAAATTATTGTCAAGGAAGACAACAATGGGAGAAGTTAAGGATCTCCTTTATCTAGCCTATATTAACAAAATTCCCCGAGAGCGATAAATTTACATGAAAAAGAAAAAGAAAAAGAAAAATGGTCCAATTAGCTTGTGGCTCCCCAATACTCGGATGAATATTATTTATACAGCCAAAACACTCTTGGATAATCTAAAATATACTGCAATAATTGGCTGGGTTTGATAACTATGGAATGGACATGCACAATTCTCTCTTGGATCTTTATGTACATTAGTCGTGTTTGAGCTGCTATAACTTATAATTATCACAATTTTGTGTAGAGCTGTCAAATAAGTGCTACCTATGGAAGGCTAAAGTATTTGACAATGCAGTATATAAAGCACTTTGGCTAAAATCTCTACTAGGTGAATAATACTCTTTTATGGCTATGTTAACAATTAAGTGGAATTACCTAGCATTGTTAATGTACCAAACCAATTGATAATTGGTATGGTTTTGTTGCTGAAATGAAACTTTTCTGCTGGTTTATCCAAAAATGAAACAAATTTGAGAACCATGTCATTGTCATGCATAATTTTCTCTTGGATCCTTGTGTATGTTGGTTAAATGTCTTATTTGAGTCCCTACTTGATTTAAGCATGTTTCAAAGTCCAAGAATTATTGTCTTTCACAAAGCAAAATTTCTTATCTGTCCCATGCGTAGAAGTATGAGGATCAATTTGAATCTTCCTTTTAGCAGTAAATAATGGTTTATGAATCCTGTCTTCAAATGTTGCCCTATAATATTTATATTAGCATTGATGTTGTAGTTTTAATTTCAGAGCCCTTGGTTATGTTGATTCTATCCCATATCTTACCATTTTTTGGCCCTCCAAATTATTCTAATTCTTGATATGTGGTTTATGAGTTATTTAACTTCATTTTAACTTTCACCTTTTTGACAATTTATTACATGACCAGTCATTTCTTTGGTTATATTACATCATTTGCTTTTTCTGTGATCATAGGTGAATGGAAACATGCAAAGAGCGACGGACATGATGATTATGGGCTTCTCGTGAGCGAGAAGGCGAGGAAGTATGCAATCGTGAAGGAACTCGATGAGCCTGTGATTCTCAAAGATGGAACTATTGTCCTTCAATTTGAAACTCGTCTTCAAAATGGACTTGAATGTGGTGGTGCATATCTGAAATACCTCCGACCCCAGGAAGCTGGGTGGTCATCCAAGGAGTTTGACAACGAGGCCCCCTACTCTATTATGTTTGGACCTGATAAATGTGGGGCCACAAACAAGGTGCACTTTATTCTAAAGCATAAGAACCCAAAGAGTGGGGAGTACGTTGAACACCATCTCAAGTACCCACCATCAGTGCCATCTGATAAACTAACACACGTTTATACTGCTATTTTGAAACCTGATAATGAGGTGCAAATCCTGATTGATGGGGAAGAAAAGAAGAAGGGTAACTTCCTCTCTGCCGAAGACTTTGAGCCAGCACTCATTCCTGCCAAGACAATTCCTGACCCCGATGATAAGAAGCCCGAGGACTGGGATGAGAGAGAAAAAATTCCAGATCCAGAGGCTGTGAAGCCAGAAGACTGGGATGAGGATGCACCCATGGAAATTGAAGATGATGAAGCTGTAAAACCCGAGGGGTGGTTAGATGATGAGCCTGAAGAGGTTGATGATCCTGAAGCAACAAAACCGGAAGATTGGGATGATGAGGAGGATGGTGAATGGGAGGCACCAAAGATTGACAACCCAAAGTGTGAGGCTGCCCCTGGTTGTGGCGAGTGGAAGAGGCCAATGAAGAGGAATCCCGCCTACAAGGGAAAATGGCATGCCCCACTTATTGACAACCCTAATTACAAGGGTATTTGGAAGCCTCAGGAAATTCCAAACCCTGATTACTTTGATATTGACAAACCTGATTTTGAGCCCATTGCTGCCATTGGCATTGAGATCTGGACGATGCAGGATGGCATATTGTTTGACAACATTTTGATAGCTAGTGATGCGGAAGTTGCCGAATCCTACAGGGAGACCTCATGGAAACCGAAATTCCAAGTCGAGAAGGAGAAACAAAAGGCTGAGGATGAAGCTGCCAGTGTTGCAGATGGTCTCCAAGGCTACCAGGTAATTTATTTGGTCTGCTTTTGATTCTGCTGAGGTGGTTCTATGATTATTGTTCAATAACCGATGCTTTTGGGTTCATTGTTGCAGAAGGTGGTCTTTGACGTCCTCTACAAGATTGCAGATGTTCCTTTCTTGAGTGCTTACAAGCCTAAAATTCTGGTGGGTCATAAAAGAGACTATTTTGTGTCCTTATTCCTCAGTTTGTTGGTGCTTTATTGTAAATGCCTTATATCTGAGTCTTGTATTGCAGGATGTCATTGAGAAGGCAGAGAAACAACCAAACCTTACCATCGGCATCATCGCCTCCGTTGTCGTGGTTGTGCTCTCAATTTTGTTGAAGATCATTTTCGGTGGGAAGAAGCCGGTAAGTTTCATTTCATACCTTCCACAAACTACACCTTATTTTTCCTTCTTTTAGAACTCGCGAAAGCACAACTGCACTTTGTCTAAGAATACATCGGTATTTACATGAGCAGGCAGTAGCAGCCAGCAGTGAGGCAAATATTGCACCAGTAGCCGAAACTTCCGACAATCAAGGAAGCGGTGAAGAGAAGGAAGAGAAGGAAGAGCAGAATGAGAAGGAGGACACTGCTGCTGCTCCTCGTCGGAGGAGGCGCGAGAATTAGGTCGGAGGAGAAAGAGAGGGAGGTAGCAAGGGGATAGTTGTTTCACCTTTTGGTAGATTTTGATCTTTAGTTGTTTGTTCTCTCCATCCGGAAATTTTAACTGAACTACCAATCCCGCATATTTTTTTTTACTCCATATCCAGGTTTGTTTCGAAACAATTTAATGTATGAGATTGTAAATGAGATTTTCTATCAGGGTCTGATACTGTCAGTTCTTTCCCTGCATCAAGATTAGAATGGGCTGAGAAAATTAAAACATTTTTATGTTTACAATTGTTGGTAGATAGTTTGAAATATATTTTAGTGTTTGAACTTAATTTGTCCTTGTTATTGAAGCTGCTGCTTTTTTTATTGATGTCTTTTTTTTTTTTTTTTTTTTGGTTAATTCAAATTTGTTTTTTTATGGTGGGTAATTGTCTTTTTCTTACAATTCAGTTTCCGTCAGTTGGAAAAAAAAGAACGAAGCATTAATTATTACACTACTCTCCCTACTCTCCAATTTTTTGATATTTGCCTATTGTTAGAGCTATTGATCTCTCTTACAATTTATAAATAATTATAGATAAATTTGACTTTTGTAAGGTAATTTACTGGAAAAAAGAAAAAGAAGTTACAGGTTTCATTTAACTCTACTCTAGGTTGCAAATGAACTCAGCCTCAGCGCGTCAATATTTTGGCAAGTATGGGCTCGGCTCGAGCTCGCCTTCAAACCAAAATAAAAAAATAAAATAATTTGTGAAGAAAATTAGTGAAGAAACCTCCCTTAACAAATTAATATTTTTCTAAACGAGCCTAAAAAGTGTGTTCAAACTCGGTCCGTTTACTTTACGAACGAATCCGAATTAAACTTTTAACGAGTTGAATAACTCGATTCATTTGCAGCCTTACTCTACTCTATGTAAAATATAGTTATGAGAAAATATTTTATCAAGGAATTCAAAGTCGGTCAATGATATATTGGCTTTTAAAAAAATTATATATATTTTTTGGTGCATTTTTTTTGTTTTGTATTTTGGGTGCGTTTGATATTGCTAACTTTTTAGGGCAAAATGCACCTGATCCCATTGAATTTTCTCGTATTTACAAATAGCCCTTGTGGACTTTGAATTATCTTGCATTTACAAATAAGCCTTTTTGGAATCCGAAACAGAACTCTGAATTGTAAAAGATTTGCTAATAACCTAAATTATTTTGAAATAAAAATTTGTCAAAAAGTAAGTTAAAATTTTGGTGAAATAATTTGATTCATTTTTTTCCCCATATTTGAGTACCAAAAATGGACCATTCCATGTTATATTTTTTGTCCCCAATATAAATTTGCATGTTTTTACAACATGTATAGGAGAGACTTATTTGGTGTTATTTGAAAAAAGTTGAAGGAATTTTTGGCATTTGCCAAATATTTTGTCCCCATGGTTCGAAGTCGTGGTGTTGATCGCGATGTAACATATTCTAGGCAAATATCACAGATAATGAAAATTAGAAGTTAAGTTTAGATCGCAAACTAAATTTTAATAAGTGAGGTGTTTCTTAACGTGGTTGTTTAAGAAAAGTGTGAATCTCTTTAATTACTAAATTCTTGTAGAGTAATGATAGGAAAATCCTACGTTATGTCGACCTCAGTCATTACCCACATAAATTAGTAAAAATTGTTCTCAGTCATTACCCACATAAATTAGTAAAAATTGTTCGACTTTTGAACTTCAAAATTAAGTATGTTGAAAAGTTGTGTTTTAACTTGTAGCATGAAACCTTGTCCCTAGGGACAGCCATCGTTTTCAAATGAAATAGAGGGATGCTGCCCTGATAAATATTTAATGCAGAAGGAATAATTCAACATAAATGTAGAGCTGAAAATGACGTAAAAGCCTTATGGCTCTGTTTCTAAATGAGGAAAAAATGTCTACTACCCACAAAGTAGACATGGCAGAGCTTGCCTTATTAAGAGTTGTACAAATAAATAAATAAATAAATTAGAAGTTGTCCCCTCACCTCCCATTAGCAATGTTGGAGAAAAAAAAAATAATAATAAAAAAATTAATTGTTATAAAACAAAAGAAAACTAATTTAAGGCAAATTTATCCTCCAAATTGTTTTCATTATATTTCACTAGCAGCAAATCCCCGCGCCTATAACTTGACTCTTACTTCTTAGGCCGCCGGCATTGTTTTCATCTAAATGAACTCAGGCAGCCGGAGTTTAACCTGATTCATCGTTTCCCGGCATTTCTTCTAACATGTGGAGCTGTGTCCTCGTCATCTGACTGGACATCTCCGTACTCCCACATTCCGATCCTCTTCTTTCGTGCTTCTGCCTGGTAAGTTTCCAACTCGTCTAGAGCTTGTCGTCTTTCCTTGGACTCCCATCTCCTCCTCTTCTCCAACCTAGCAAGCCCTTCCTGCAGATTTCACCACTTCTGAGACCAATGTATTCACTTAAAAGCAACAAAGTACAAGTTTAAAATGACGCCAGTGCCGTGTAATATGCATGTTAACTAAGGCATATGAATGCCAAAAAAACCGAAAGAATTAAAACAAAACTATCAATTTGTTATCTCTACCTCACTGAAAATTCTAAAAATAGAAGAATATGACACTACCACTACATGTCACACACATTCTTTAGAGATTGTGGGAAGAGAAAAAAGCAGAACGAAACCTTTTGAAGGACATAATACTTTAACAGCTGATACCATAGAAGCTTAGGATGTACAATGACTAGAAAGAAGAACCTTGGCGCGGGAATTTAATATAGGTCATCCTCAGAAGATGAAAGAGTAGCAAGATAATAAATTGGCAAGCAAAATGAGCTAACACAAGCACTATGCATAAAAACAATGAGGAAGCATCATACACGAGCATATGTCAAACTCCCTTTGTTAGACTACTCTGCTCCAGAAGCGTTCGTAATTTAGAGCAAATTTGAGACGGTCTAAGAGATGGTCTAACACAAGCATTATGCATAAAAGCTGTTTCTTGTCTTGCTATTCTTTCTAGCTCAAATTTGAGACGCTAAGAAAACAAAAGAGAGGGTGTGATTCAAACCTTCAGCATAGTGGCATTCACACTTGAATCAGCTTCTGCGTCAAATAAAGTAACCACGAGAATCGTCCCAGTTCCCTGCCCTTTCACCTTTCCTCCCAATGAAGTATCCCTTCCCTCAATCACAGCATTGAATTCTTTCGGACTATTTAGCGTGTGCTCACTCAGACGCACAGCTGCTTCTTGCCCATAATCCTCCTCCAAGCCTGGGATCTTTACATGCGCAAGGCTGCAAAGCTGAGCATGGCCAGGTGCAGAGGACACAGAGGGATCAAGTGGTCGTAATTGACCATAAAGAACCACTTCTTGATTTCCATAGTCAATGTAGAATACTTCAAATTTGTCATTTGGAGATTTAACAGCTCCTTGAGACGCATTAACGATCTTCACATGTTAAATAAGAAAGGATTAAGATACAGAGGAGAAACAATGTAATTGAATGAAAAAGCAAACAGGATAGATCGTTATATTATGTCAGTAAAAGGTCACAAAAAAAAAAAAGGATCTTTGGTTTCTAATGAATATACATAAATTAAGTTCAAAACCTCAAGAATCATCATTAATTACAAACTAAAAATACTAGAAATAGTCAGAATAAATGAGATATAAACAGCCTCACTAACCTCTAACCAAAGGAGACATTTGTGCTCTCAGATGGTGAATTCCTATTTAAGAGCGGACTGTTTTTTTCTTTCCCCTACCAGTCTTGAAGCCTTGAAATGGGGCTTGGGAATTAAGACCCAAAGCCACCATGACAAAGGTTGACCATTTATTTAAGAGCAAATTGACCGAACAATATGAGTGCATACTCTCGGCACTCTTCCTATATATATATATATATATTTTCTGGAAATTCACTCTTCCTGTTACAAAAAAAAATATAGGATACGGTGATCTATTTGTGAAAATGCACGTGTGATCAAGTGATCCCACCAATGGTGACACCTCTTTTCCATGAAGTATAGTAGTCTTGGGAATATTGCAAGAATTGAATCCTTACCTCGGTATAGCTATAAACCCGTCTAACCACCATGTTATCATCATTCTCTAATGCTATATATATATATATATATATACACGCTCATTACCTAGTAGGGGAAGATAATGCAAATCTAAGTATCTAACACAAAGTAACAGCTCTCAAACTTGGACAGTATTTTCGTGCTTGGCAGCCCTATCTTTTACTTATATTCAAGATATGGTCCATATTCTTGTCATTAATGTCTTACTTTATTACATCAGTGTATAGTAAATAGGGAAAAAAACAATTAATGTTTCCAAATTCCTTATTTCAGTCTTACCTATTAAATGGAACTACAATATAGTCCCAATTAATTATAATAATGTTATAAATATGTATACATATACGTATAGATTTATTCACTATCTAAGTGCTCCTGCTCTCAGGATCTTTCGATAAGCAATAAGTTTGGTCCTAGAGTCCCTGTATACACTCTTGCCATGCGATGAAATTCACATTTTCCATTGATTTCAGGTAGTCCACCATTTAGGTCATCCATCCAGTAGCATTCAAACTTCGGCATTGTAAAAGCGTGGGGATCCAGAATGAACAGAGGAATCACTAGGGGTTGGTAGAAGAGGTTCTGGAAATAAAGTCAAGGTTTATAAAGGATAGCAGAACGGTCTTAAGTGTTGTTTTCCCAACTGGCGTAGTAGAAGACGAGGACTTGAAAGAAGGATCTTCTAAGGTTTTTTATGGTATATATTCCCTTATGAAGACAGAAAATGCCGCTATCCTCCTTGCAGTTCAATATGACATCCTAGTATTGCACGCACTTAGGCAATTTCAAAAGATGCGGCAGAGCTGGAGGGGACCATGCCCCCTCTCAATTTTCTTTCTTTTTTTTTCTTTTTGGTCAAATCTACTGAAGGAAAAAGTAATTCCGTTATAGTGGTAGTCATAACTAAAACATATCAATGCTACATTCAAATATATATATATATATATATATATATTACCTATTCTTTATATGTATTCAAGAGATAAAAAAGGGATGTTCAGCACTTAATTGACAGTGTGTTCTTCTCTCTCTCCTGTTGTTGTTTGCCTTTTCATATTAATTTCTCATTTTATTTATTTAAATTCTTTTAATCTAATTTTTTAGGTTATAAGGTCCTCATTAGTAAGGTTATATTAAGAACAAGATAAGCTTGTGCACTACAAGCTATAAAAGTAAGCCTCTCAATCTAACAGTTCCAAGCATGCAACCCAGAAAAAGTGTCCTCATTATAGGCATGCTCGTAATAATCTATATTAAGATCTATGTTTTTAAAAAAACAAAAAACAAATATATCATAACATTATCATTACTGTTATAATTTTAATTATATTTATGCTACTTTGGCCCCCCAACTGAGTATTTCTGGCTCCGCCCCTACCGCCCAGAGAAGCCTACTATTCAGTTAGGAATTATATGTTAACTAAAATGAAAAGCAGTACTAGAATTTTACTTTGCATGGAACAGAAGAAGATTGAAGGTTCGATTAAATATGTTCCCAATTGAAAATTGCACAGAGATGTCAGTTATCAGGCTTACCATTGCTCGGTTCCAGGAATTATCTGCAGTAAACTGAGCAAGGACGACATCACCCTTCTTAGGATTGAAGGCACCAATGACAGGAGCTTCTTGAATGTTCAAAGCAGCAAGCTGCTGCTGAATAGATGCCACGTTTTGATCTTCAACTATCTGGACATAAAATTTTCCGCCTTCTAAGACTTCAGTAACCATTACCTGAAAGCATAAATCATTGAGACAAATCATAATTTATTCATTACATATCATGAGGAGAAATACATAGCAGAATCATATTATAAAACACCTTCATCTCTTCCTTCTGGTACTTCTGTTTTCTTTCAGAAGTTGAAGCACTAGAAACTTCCTCCCCTTCGACAAAGTTCTCCCATATCTGCAAAAAAATATTTATCAGCACCAAAGGCAGATGAAGAACAGTTGTATTACAATAACGTTCTGCTTCTCACTTTCAGTTTCTGCTTTTTGGCAGATTGCTCAGCCTGCACAAGAAGGTGAGCATCTGGGACTCTGTCAATGTTGAAGGTAGTTTGAAGCTTCGCCAGGCCAGCTTCCAGTAGTGGCACTGCCATATTGGTCTTTGACTCCCATAAAGATCCCAAGAATGTTCCAGTTCTATCAACAGTTTCCACTTCAATCTGAGAACAAAACAATAAAATTATAACTATCAGAGGAGGTGATCTACATACCAAAATTAGATGATTTGATGAGTTGTAAGATAACTTATAATTAGGGATTTCATTCCAATTTAGATGATTTACAGATTGCTTGTAGTTAGGAATATTATTTGTGGATACCAAATCTTGGGATATGATTGTGGTAAGCATTCCTTGTATAGTAATATTATTATATAAAGAAAGTCTCCCGAAGGGAAAGGGACAGAAGTTTTCTCCAGAAATCTCTTTGTTCTCTTCGTATTGTCATGGTATCAGAGCCCAGCTTGATACAAGAGACGTTCTGAGTTTTTTTTTTATAAGATACATCACAGTTTTTTGTTAAAAACTATGGTGTCTTGTTTCTAAGGAGTTGCAGCAACAATCTTGGTTAGAGTTGCAGTCAAGAATTGCTGTTAGCATCATCTCAGGTTCTCATTCATCTTTTCTCTTTCGTTTGAGTCTCTTTTGAAGTTTTTTTTTTTAGAATGTCAGAAAAGTCAGAAATCTTGTCCCAAGTGAGGGGCTACCATCTCTTCAAAAAGTGCATGAAATTACTCAAAGAGATCAGTTTCTTATGAAATTGAGACGTGATTTTGAATCTATTCACTCAAATCTGATGGCTAGAGATCCTTCTCCATCATTGGATATGTGCTTTGGTGAACTTCTCCGAGAAGAACAACGTTGTTTGACTCAAGCTACAATTGAACAAAAGGGTGTTTGCACTAATCCACTGGATGTAGCTTATGCAGCTCAGGCTAAAGGAAGGGATTTGTCCAAAATACAATGTTATAGCTGTAAGGAATATGGGCATATAGCCAATCAGTGTAAGAAAAAATTCTGCAACTACTGTAAGAAGTCTGGACATTTGATTGTTGATTGCCGTAAGCGACCTCAAAATCGATCATCCCAGGCTTTCAATGCTACCACCGCAGTGGGTTCTCCCTCTGCTGCTACGACCATGCAGCATTCTCAAGCTTTTACTGCTTCTAGTTCCATAACTCCAGAGGTAGTGCAACAAATGATTCACTCTGCATTTTCTGCTCTTGGTCTCACAGGTAAACCCTTCTCCTCATCTATTTGGTATGTTGATTCTGGTGCTTCCAATCACATGACCTCTTCCTCAACACATCTCACTAATGTGAAACCATATGTGGGAAATGTGAAAATTCATACTGCTAACGGGGAACATCTTCCCATTAAGTCAGTTGGTGATATCCCTCATTCTTTGCCATTACATAATGTTTATCATACACCACGTTTGACCTCTAATCTTATATCTGTCGGTCAATTGGTTGATAATAACTGTAAAGTTTCATTTTCTACATCTGGATGTAATGTGCAGGATCAGGAGTCGGGGAAAGTGATCGGGAAGGGACCTAAATGTGGAAGGCTGTTTCCTCTAAGCTTGTTTAGCTATCCCAGGAATAAATCTTTATTTTCGTTATTTTGTCCTTCTTCTAGTACGTCATATCAGATGTGGCATAAACGATTGGGGCATCCTAATGCCAAAAGATTGTCGTTCTTGTTGAAATCTGGTTTGTTTTCTAATAAAGACCCTGTTTCTTTCAATGATGTCTCATTTGATTGTAGTAGTTGTAAATTGGGTAAAAGTAAGACTCTTCCTTTTCCAATTCATGGTGACATTACTACAAAATGCTTCGATTTGATTCATACTGATGTTTGGGGGGATGCTCCATTTCCCTCTCATTCTCGTCACAAATATTTTGTTTCCTTCATCGACGATTATAGTCGACACACATGGATTTATTTTTTGCATTCTAAATCTGGAGTTTTTGATGCCTTTAAGCGTTTTTTGGCTTACCTAAAAATCAATTTTCCACATCCATCAAAATTCTTCGTTCCGATTCTGGAGGTGAATATATGAAAAATGAATTTCAAAATTATCTTCAACATGAAGGAATCATTTCCCAGCGAACTTGTCCATCTACTCCTCAACAAAATGGAGTAGCTGAGAGGAAAAATAGGCATCTTTTGGATGTTACTTGGACCCTACTTCTTGATGCATCCCATTTTTGGGTGGAAGCACTTTCCACAGCTGCGCATCTTATCAATAGATTGCCTTCTCCAAAGCTTCAACATCAATCTCCATATTTTCGCTTGCATCAAGCTAATCCTAATTATAACCAATTGCGTGTTTTTGGTTGTGTTTGTTATGTCCATCTACCTGCACAAGATCGAAACAAATTATCTGCACAATCTGCTCGTTGTGCATTTCTTGGGTATGCATCTCATCAAAAAGGTTTTTTGTGTTATGATCCTTCTGTCTGTCGCATTCGTGCCTCTCGTAATGTTGTCTTTGTTGAAAAACAGTATTTCTTTCAAAATACTCATGTCCCTTCTCCTCCGTCCTCCGTCCTCCGTCCTCCTTTTCTTATCTTCATGACTTTAGTAGTAATAATCCTTCTGTTTTCACAAGGTTTAAACCTGGGCTGGTTTATAAGCGACGAGGTAAAACAACAATTGGTGCAGAAGAAGGTCCTAACCGTGACTCCTCTCCATCTCCTGATCCAAGTCCACAACCGCCTCCTCTTCGAAGATCCACTCGCCAAATCAAACCTCCTGATCGCCTAATTCTTATGACTACTCTGTCATCAAAATCTATTCCCAACTCATATTCACAGGCCGTACAACATTTATGTTAAAAACAAGCTATGAAGGAAGAATTGGAAGCTTTAGAGAGTAATCATACTTGGGATATTGTTCCTTGTCCTCTTGGTCACAAACCAATTGGTTGCAAATGGATTTTCTCTGTTAAACTTAGATCTGATGGCTCCTTCAATCAATATAAAGCTCGTTTGGTTGCTCTCGGGAATTGGCAAGAGTATGGGATTAATTATGAAGAGACTTTTGCTCCTGTGGCAAAAATGACAACTGTTCGTACAGTGCTTGCTATTGCAGCTTCTCAATCTTGGCCTCTTTTTCAAATGGATGTAAAAAACGCCTTCTTACATGGTGATCTGAACGAAGAAATCTATATGAGACTTCCCCCTGGTGTCACAAGCAATTCTGCATCAGATGTGTGTCATCTACAACGCTCTCTTTATGGCCTGAAACAAGCGCCACGAGCCTGGTTTGAAAAGTTTGGTAACACTATTCGTCAATTTGGCTTTAATCAGAGTACCACTGATCCTTCTATGTTTCTTCGTCGTCGTGAAACTGGTATCACCATTCTCCTTGTATATGTGGACGACATCATCATCACTGGTACAGATACAATAGGCATTTAACAACTACAGGCTTCTTTACACTCTTCTTTCCACATGAAGGATCTTGGAAACCTCACGTATTTCCTAGGCCTTGAAGTGCATCAGTCAGGTAACGGAATTTTTATTAATCAGCACAAATATGCCAAAGATCTTATTGCTTTGGCTGGACTCGAGAACTCAACTCCAGTAGCTACTCCACTTGAAATTAATGTCAAGTATAAAAAAGATGAAGGCCAACTACTCTCTGATCCTACGATATATAGGCAACTAGTTGGCAGCTTGGTTTATTTGACAATCACAAGACCAGATATTTCTTATGCAGTTAATTTGATGAGTCAGTTTATGCACCAACCTCGACATCTTCATCTTGCAGCTGTCAAACGGATCATTCGCTATTTACTCAGCACTCCAGAGCGTGGGTTATTTATAAAGTTGGTTCATCTCTCCAACTTACAGCTTATAGTGATGCTGACTGGGCAGGTTGTCCTGATTCTCGTCGATCTACAACGGGGTGGTGCATGTATCTCAATGGCTCCCTTGTGTCATGGAAATGCAAGAAACAAGAACGAGTTTCAAAATCTTCTACTGAGGCAGAATATCGAGCCATGTCTTCTGCCTGTTCTGAAATCGTTTGGCTTCGTCGTCTTCTATCTCAATTAGGTTTCCCTCAATTAAATCCTACTTCTCTACATGCTGATAACACAAGTGCCATCCGGATTACAGAAAATCCAGTATTTCATGAACGGACTAAACACATAGAGGTCGATTGTCACTACATTCGGGAAGCCTATGTTAATCATCTCATTACTTTGCCTCATGTGTCAACAAATTTCCAAACTGCAGATATTTTCACTAAAGCCTTAACTAAGACTCGTCACCAGTTCTTAGTTGACAAATTGATGCTTGTGGATTCACCAACATCAATTTGAGGAGGGGGTATCAAAGGAGGTGATCTACATACCAAAATTAGATGATTTGATGAGTTATAAGATAACTTATAATTAGGGATTTCATTCCAATTTAGATGATTTACAGATTGCTTGTAGTTAGGAATATTATTTGTGGATACCAAATCTTGGGATATGATTGTGGTAAGCATTCCTTGTATAGTAAATATTATTATATAAAGAAAGTCTCCCGAAGGGAAAGGGACAGAAGTTTTCTCCAGAAATCTCTTTGTTCTCTTCGTATTGTCAATAACAATATAGAATGAAAGTAAATCCGATAACTGAGTGCCAGTTGAAAGATAGATAACAGTACCTCAACATCCCTTTGCATTATTTTCCGTCTCATTAATGCAATTGCTTCATTGGAAAAAGGCTCATCACGACCAGGGCATCTAACACCAGAAAATGAAAAAGCAATGCTGCATGTTTCCTTAGGAATAAATAGTTTAAACCGATGGCCACTGAGGACATATTCCACAACGGCTGGCATCCTTCTACTTCGTTGTATAAATGGCAAGAAATCTTTGGCTTTCTTGGCTGAAGCCTGAAAAGACATTCCAATGGTGAATCTTATAAACAGGTCATTATAGTAGGAAAACATTAGTCGTAATAGTTAGGTTCCTAACCGTTGTCAGGTCTGTGACATGCATTACTGGAGGATCCTTGGCAGAATGGATCCCCTTCTTCCCAGCAGTAGCACGTGATTCAGCTGCAAGAAGGGCATCATAATAGTTTGATCTCTCCTCAAAATCTCTATGTCTAACGACTGTGCCAAAGCCACGGGAAACCACCAGCTCAGCAACATTTACCCCAGCCTGCTGACTGCCTGCAGTAGGCAGAGCAGGTGAGGAGGCATTGTCGCCTTCAGCCTTGACAGGAGATACCAAGAAGACTGATCCAAAATCCATTACCCTTGTATCTTTTGTGCCAGAGGCAGCAGCAGGTCCATCTGCCATTGGGACCTTCTTGGAATATTCCATTGAAACGTTCACCTGAAAAAAAATAAAAAAAGTATAATCACATCAAACCTACATTTATGTAATACAAAGAAAAAGAGAAAGATGCATATAAAAGCATCCATACTTGATGGCCGATTAGCCGTGTTCGTAAAAATTCCTTCGCTTCACGAGCGTAGGGAGCAGATTTTCCCTCCCTACGAGGATTTCCCATTTTGGGACACCTGATACTTGAGAGATTCACTCGTCGCTCTGCTAATGGACTGCCTAACGGGAAAGAATCATCAGCTATGATGATGCAATCCCCACTAACAACCTCAACCACCTGGAGAAAAACAAAATTTAGATGACAGCACACTAGACATTCAAAAGAAGAAGAAAAAAAACAAGATAAGGATTCACATAAGCATGACTTGGACCAATAACTAACCTTTCCAGTGAAATTCTGGTCATGAATTGCTTTTGAATTTGAAGTCGGAGGTACATAGTTAGTCCAAATCCTCAACCTGGCCTTCTTCGCTTGAAGTTCTGCAGACTTCAACTGCCGCTTGGCGTCATCTTCCATCAAGCTTGCACTCCACTCAACATATTTACCTAAACCCTACATAGGGGGGAAACAAAAAGAAAAAGAAAGAAAGAAAGAAAAAAAAAAAAAAAAATGGGAGGTAAATGTCAAAAAAAAAAAAAACGGGAGGTAAATGTCATGTGAAAATTTGGAGATATTAGACATAGAGAGGAGAAGAAAGCATTGAAGTATCAAGATGAAGGCAAAATGATGAAAGAAAGAAATCATTGCACAAATGCACAAGTATTTTGAACTTGAAACAATAGAAAGCAGCTCCATGGTGTAGCCAAGGATGATGGCCAATGCACCACATTGTGGATTGTCTTAACTTTACAATTTTTACCGTCATTCAAGATGACAAATTTCTACCTTGAAATGCTATATAAAATGTAATGGGACCATTCAACATCGATAAGATATCCAGACATTCCTCACAGTAAGACCTTGGAAATATCAGAAATTTAGAGGACACAATTGAAACGACACAGAGAAAACAGAGTAATCAAAATCGAAATATTAAATAGAATAAAGAATAATGCTAAGAAAATATTCTTGTCCTAGCTGTTCCATTCAATAAGGAGGCTCAGTTATGAGAGATACACCCCAAAAGGTCATATCTTAGCACAGGTCGACCAAGCATATCAAATCTAATTTTCATTTCAAAGCTTCCTGCAGCTTCTAGCAACTAATCAAATAAAAGCATCATAGAATATTCAAAATAGAAAATCTTCAGAATGTGTCGATAATTGAAAGTTCTGTAGGTAGGAATATAAGGAGAGAGCCTTCTCCGCTCCAGGGCTTGACTGAAAGAAAATCAACTGGTCAGCCCTTCATAAGGTCTGCCAACACTGTCTGACGACATTGAAATTCTTAAGTGAGGAAAAAAAATATTTATTTTGCAGTAAAGGTGCCAAAAAGACTAGGAAGGCAAAGAAAAACGATGAGTGGGCTATGAGAAAAGACACGACTAGAACCAATTTACGATGAATATAGCGCTAGATAAACGTCAGAAAGAAGGATTAACGTAGCCCACCCCAAGTGATTAAGATTATAGTATACCAAGTAATTTTCAGTATCTAATTAAGTTATATGAACCTCAAATCCAAACACTAGTAATGAAGATAAGATATGTTCCGCTCATCAGAAGTTGAAAAATATTCCGTTGAATTTTTTTTTCTGTCAAGGTATATAATTCAAGCATTAGCATATGATGTTCTGTTGAATATATCTCCTGTCAAGTGATGTAATTCAAGCATTATCATCATGTCCTATAATTTTATATTTTAAGTCCATAATCCAATTGTTCCTCATAACCTTTGAATGCTACGGGTGTTGTACTTGAATTGATTGATTCATCCAATTAAAATTACTTGAGAATCTATTAATAAACCAATCTCTGCATCCTACCAGTTTGCTAACTAGACTCACTCCACTGAGGGAGGACCACAAACTCAGGGCTCGACAAACAAGAAGGTGCCAGCATTAATAAACTTCTCGGGGTTAGCTGTGAACCAAAACTCCCTTAATTCCTTTCTTTGTTCATATTCATAGCTGAGTCTACTACTCTACTAAAAGAGAGACTGGTCCCATTGTGCTGTTTTAAGTACACCTTTTGATTATTCATCTCTAATATGTCATGTTACCTCCAGTCAGGGACAGATCCAGAAACATAAGTGAAGGGGGGCAATGTGAAAATTTTTACTAATTTCAAGGGGGGCAATAGTATAATTATATATATATATATATCAAAATTCTAAAAATATTAGGGTATAATAATGGTAAAAAAAAAAAATTCAGTGGGGGAAAGGCACACAACAGATCCACGCCTGCCTCCAGTTATATAATTAACAGGATCAGTCAGCCAGAAGAGGGTGGTTGTCTTCTTCTAGAAAGAAAATTTCTTGCCTTCTAATTATTTAACCATCAATTCGGAATCTTTGTCAATGCGATCATTTGACTCAATTTTCAATCTACAATCACAGCTTCAAATGTTGATCTGAAACTTCCACTGAAGTGACACCACATATAGACCATGACAGAACTTTTGTTAATGAAATATGCCGACACATGACACTTTTTCCTCACACTAAAAATTAGTTTAATTCTAGAAATGTTCCATTTTCAACAACCGCACTACAAAATTTGTTACTTACATTTTCAACTAGCTCCAATGCCAGGTCCTTTGCTGATCCATCATCAGAATAATAGACAGAACCAATCAAGTTGCTAAATTTGTCAACTCCCTCCAGGACAATACGGACCTGTAAGGTGGATTGAACTGAGATCATCTAAACACAGTACAATCCCATTGCAAGGGCTTAGCAATAGATTCACTCACATCTCTATTCAATACACGTATCTCTGTAAAATGTTTGGCTTCCCTTCCACAAAAATCTGGGGCAACATCAAATGAGGAAACCGATGAGGCAGCAAGTTTCTGCGCTGATGTTAAGGGAACCCGAGATTGAGCAGAAGCTTCTTTATTTTGTTCACCAGGGGTTACTTCACTTTGAATAGCAACTTCAGCTGCAGCCCTTCTTCCCATTGATGGCGCCTGATTCAAATATAAAAGAACAACGAAAAACTCGGAGCCAAGCCAGCAATAGAATATAGGACTAACAATACATTAGTAATAAACCTATCTACACTTCTGGTAAGGGAATACAGACTATGCTTGTATTCTTTACCTGGATTCCGGCAACAAACACTTGGACAAACTGAAACTCTGGAAGCAAGTAGACACGAAGAGTGCTTCCATCACGAACCTGCTCCACGATAGCTTCCATGGGCTTACCTTTATTTGTTGCTAACAGGCCCATTGCATCTAACTTACTAGGAGCACCTATTGCAGAGGGTGGTAAGTTCCTGATGGATGACTCTGAAGCCCCTGGTGCCTGCAAAAAGCAAAAATATTAGCTGTTGTTTTTCAGTTCGTGCCAATGGTTGTATTCCAATAAACAAATGTTCTGTTGTTTTACTTCATAAAAACAAGTAATTTTGAGCTTTATGCATGACACATTAAGCCACAAAGTGAATAAATGACAATAATGCATAAAGGGACCAAATTAAAATGAATAGTGGCGGTAACCGTGAAGCACATTAACAGAATTTCCTCCAAGGAAAAAATTCATGTGCCATTAGTAGTCATATGTAGATAATATAACATAGAGTAAGACGGTTCTCTATTTGTTTGCTGCGTGGAACAATTCCACCCCCTCACCTCCCCTCTTTGTGGGTGGAACCCCTTCGAAATGAAAGAGAAGAAGGGAAACATTAAAAGAAGACTTGTTGCACATTTTATTGAAGAAAAATACATTTTTTATATCCCCTACATTGTAGAACTCCTCTGCCATATAATATTTTTGAGAATTGTAATACCATTTTTCTAAAAGCACATGTTACTCTTTAATTTCACTGGTGGAGGAGTTTTAATTAGCACAATTGGGAAGGGAAGGACAAGAAAAGTCATACTATCTTCAACAATCCATTCCTTCTTACCAAATCTTCTTCTTTTCCTTTCCATGCACTCGCGTTTCTTATAATAAAAATCTTTAAAAAAATCAAGGTTTAAACCCCAACTCTCCAACAACTGCAAGGGTGCTTACATGCAAAATGTCATATCCCTTCATTATAATTAGTAAGAAGGGGCTTCTTCTTCTTCAACCGTAACAACTAATACCTAGATTTCCCTATCACTATTAACTTTGGACATTGATTTCATATATAGCCAATAAAAGTTAATAGAGCAAAATAAAATAAAATAAAATAAAATAGTCAGGAGCAGCAACCAGGACAAAGATAACTCGGCCAACCAGGAAACACAAACGAAAAAGAAGAAGATAGTTAAGAAAACTTCAATTCATGATAAACAATAAGGAAAAAAATTCTATTTGGCTCATGATCTCCAAAAATGCTTCTACAAATGAGAGTGAAAAATAATCTGTTTTCTGGACATTCAATACTGATGTTTTCTGTACTTTGGCTTTTGTTTACCAGTAAAGAATGCAAGATGTAGCAATTTTCAAGGGTTTAAGTAGGTAAAAGGCAATAAATATTGAATCTATGTGTCTTTCTATACGAACTTCCTCTTACCTTTTCTTTCATAGGATGTGGTTTCTTATGCACTTGCAATGAAAATGTCTAGTGCAGTGTACTAGTAGTTTTACTAATAAAAAAAAGTCATCACCTCGACCCAACTTATACAGGCCAATCATTGAGACATCACTAATTCCTAAATCCATGATATCAATCAATGAATGCAGTAATTTAAAAGATCATAGAAGGAACAGCAGAAATGCTTTAGTCTGTGTGGTAGCAGCAGCCTTTGTTAAGGCTTTCAATCCAGCGGTCTTCTTTCAGAAACGGTAATTAGTGTAATGTAATAGAACAGATAAAAGAACAGATCTTATATACTGCAAGATGATATATCACTGCTGTAACATAGAAGCTTAGAAGAAAAAAAAATGTTAAAAAGAACTGACTAACCCTGCTCCAACGTCCGAGACCTTGTTGCTTGGCTTGTTCTTCAATACGTAATAGTTCAGTTAAGAAAGGACTAACTTGCCCTTTTTGTTGACCCGGTATCTTAACCTGCAACCACCAGATTCATCAACTACCACACATAAAAAACCAAATCCAAAATTAAGAATGTATGCTTAGAAACAAAAGAGACATAACCTTTGCCCAGCCTTCAGAAACAACCATCAACGCGACATTCTTATCACCAAGGAAAACTGAGCCAAATTCTCGACCTATGGATGGAACAGCATAATCTACTCTGAAAGTGACCTCCTGTTAAAAAAAAAAATTGAGTATGATAATAATAATTACTCTCATTTTAAAAATAAAAATAAAAAGTCAAAAAAAAAGAATGAAAAATTGCAATGACAACAGCAGCATTTTAGTAATAAGCACCTTTCCTATGCAAAGCTTCCGCAAATATTCTCTGCTGTCCCATGCAAATGCCTCATCAACACCACCTCTACGAGCCTGCAAAAGGAAATGTGGAAGACACCCACACAAAGATTAGATCATGACGGTATCAGCCACAAATTGTAATACAGAACTTGCACATTGAAATTTAATTAATTCATTCAAAATTTATTACAATTCTTGGAGCTTTGAGCAAAAGCCAAAATGCTTATACTTGCTTACGATTCACATGAACAATTATGACAGAATATGAAAAAGAATTTTCTTTATACAGAATTGATAACTATTTTCAAACAATATACCAATTCATTCACTCACTAATAATCGGATAATAAAGACACTAAGGTAAGCTTCCTAACACCAAAAGTCCTTTATTAAAAAGATCTCAGTCGCAAGGACTTCTTTTGAATGAATTTAAATAAGATAAAATAAAATAATGTTTGGAGAATGAAATTTTAAAAGTCCTTTAACCACTAGAACAATTTTAATTGAAAATATTACCCTTTGTTCTCAATAATTACCTAAATTGCTCATGAATATAATAGTGAGTTTCATTAACTATTCCAAAATTACAATAGAACATCAAATTAGGGAACTGCCAAAATATTTGCACAAGCAAGTCAATCAACAGATAAGCTGAAACAAATGTGTCTCAGTATAAGAGAACGGACGGTCTTATTTATCACATTTCTATTTGAAATCCCAGAATTTGACCAGTGGAGCAAATCTGGATGCTAGCCAGAGAGGCACAGCAGAGAACACTAAAGGCAAGAACTGAAGAGGAACATCGGAGGTGTTCAACCACCAATCAGTCACAAACAGCAGTGCAATCGCAGAGCAGGAAAAGTAAATCAGATAGCTACAGAAGGATTGATCCAACCATGTTCCTTACCAAACTCAACATTTTACATAAATTCACAGTTCCTCCTCGAAAGGGAAATTAAGCACATACCACATTATGTATTTATACACGAGTAATAACTTGCTTTTTTAGAATTCTAGTTATATTGGTCCATAGATAACTAAAACCTGAGTAGCCCTATATGACTATTTGGTGAGGGTAAGCAAAAGGGAACTGAGAAGGATGCAAAAGAATAATAAATGGGCACGACGAACAGCAATCTGAATAATAGGATCCAATTCAAGGGTCACTGGTGGATGGAATCATGGAATGTCATTTAACAAAATCGGATAAAAATCATCGTTTAAAATTTGTCCATATCACTTCGCAACAAGTCATCTCCAAAAGCTAATCTCGCGAACTTTAATTGAAAGGAACTCGATATTTCCCTAGAGAGGAAGGAGGCTTAAAGGTTGAAAGTCCTTTCAGAGCCTCTCAAACGCTTCCCAATTACTACCTACACTGCAACAAAACAGGCTATTAACTACGGAATATTTCCTACGGATTCAATTTCATAGTAAACAGTAGGGATTTGAATTCTACGCTTCCCAAAAACTACCTAGCTAAAAATTATTAATCCCCCAGAATGGATCAAGGAACAAAAGGGTCTTAATACAACTGAAACTCGTACATTATCCAGAAGTCAATTCTCCAGAAGTCAATTCTCGCATTGACAAGTTTAAATTTTTTTTTTTTTTTTCAAACAAGTTCTATATTGCACCAAAAAAACTACTTCCAAAACATGCTACAAATTTAACTAGACTTCCAAGCATGGAATTAATAAAGCCTATGAAAATTAAAACAAAAAATATCATCAAACAAATTAATAGTGCCAAGTTTTGACAGCAAAACAAATTATGTAAGCCTGGTGAGGATTAAAACAAAATGAAATAAATATATAAATAAAATAGAGTTTACCAATCTTGGGGCAATTAGGGATGACAAAGTAATAGTCTTCTCAGGGGGGATCTCAGCCTTGGTGCTCCCCATTATTACCAAACTATCACCTGAAGGAACGGCTTTCACTCTTCCTCTCAACCATCCCGTGGCTCCAGCTTTTGATGCCATCTTGACGACGACAAATCTGCACAAACAGCATTTCATGTCAGCATTCTCTACTTCAATACATATGTGTATGTGTGTATATCTTAACGAGAAAATGAGACCTCCACACATGCCCATACAATCAGATTTCTAAAGTTATTTTTATTTATTTTTTGTTCTTATGCCCAAATTTAACCATTCTTGCTTATCTTCTTCTCTTAATATCCTTAAATTTCATCCAGAGACAACTGGAGTATCCCATCCTCATAGAAATCATTATTCAATGTATAAAAATCGAAACATTTTCATTAATACAAGACCGTTATACAAATGGGACAAATTGGCTCGATTTCAAGTGATAGGAAACGCAATGCAACTATAAGGAGACAAAATTAAAGTAACCATACACCAGAAAGCTAATTAAATTATAATTCTAGATATGTCTTTAATAAGAAAATACTCAAACAAAATCTTCAAATCAAGTCACAACTTCAGAAAGGGAAAAATAAAAAATAAAAAAAACTAAAACAATAACTACTCGTATATCCTACTAAAAATTAAAAATTGATAACAACATTTAATACGAACCGCCCCAATTATCCAGATTATCAATAAACCGCCAACAATATGTATGTGTGTGTGGAATATATATAAAAATGGTACGTGTTTTGATGTGCATGCAAATCTATAATTTGCCGATCCCTAGAACTTCCAACAATATGTGTGCGTGTGTGTGTATATATATATATACACACATATATATAGATTGCACGTGTTTCCAAGTGCATGCAAATCTGTAATTGGAAATGAGGCTAATGTAGCATCATATAAACACCAAGAGAATCTGAAGGAAAGAGCTAAATTCAGTTTGTATGGATGCATGCATTCACATATATATACACACACACACGTAGAATCACATGTGTTTGTATATATATAAACACATAGAGAGAGAGACCTGGATGATATGTGTAAGAAGCCTCCTCCTCGGGATGAATCGGAGCCGGAGGTGAGAGAAGACAAAGATCAAATTGATCAAATCGAACGTAATGTAAATATGATATACATAATATATATATGTTGAAATATATGTAAATATATGTATGATGAAAGTGAGCACCGAGGAGGTTCGTCCGTGAAGGGGTCGGACGATGGATCAGAGAAAATTTGTAACACTTGTTTGTGTGTTTAGATATGTATCCTAATATATACGTAGGAAGATAGATATGAGGACCAAAATATCCTCAAAATATCCTCCCTTTTGGGGAAAATTACTTAAAATACCAATATGTTGCGTCCACATCCACTTCTCAAAATCTATCTCACCCCAAGAGTTCTGCTATCATGAGGTGAATTTCATGATAGTTGCCGTGAATTTCTATTTTCAAATTATCACTTTTTTTTTCTTCCAAATTATCATATATACATTCATCTGATTGGTTTGATTTAATAAAAATAAATTTTAATATAAAATTATAATTATATAATTTTCATGCAACTTTCTCTTAAATGTTATTAGCCTATTTTAATATTTATACATGATTACCATAAAAATTGAAAAGTTTATAATAATTATCATGAGTCGAACATAGGCTAACATTACTCTTAGAAAATAACTATTTTTCTGATTGAATAACAGACTTTCCTTGGACCGATAACGACGGTTAGTCGCGGAGAGCCTGCGTCAAAATTTTTGCCATGTCAGCACCAACCAAATAATTGGTAGGTCATGTTTAATTAATAATAATTATTATTATATGAAAAAAGGTTTATATTTAACCATTCATTTCTCACCCATCTTCCTTTGAAGTTGAATTAAAAGTAGCAGTAAATTATATAGAATTAGTTGTCACCATGCATTTGGCACATTTTCGTCCCATCAATTTATGCGATGAAAATATATATATATATATATATATATATATATATATATATATATAAATTTATCTATGGGTAATTTTGATGGATGATAGAGTTTTCACCGTGCATTTAGCACATCCTCATCCCAACCTAAATATCTACGTAGGATTAAGATTACTTTTTTTCTTTTTCTTTTTTAAAATTAAGATTCTCCAACGGAATGATAGAATGTTAGAACTTTTTTTTTTTTTTTTTCATAATTAGGAATTACACTTTTAGTAACCTCAGATATTTAATTTTAGTCAAAATTTTACACGGTGTCCAAAGGTAGAACTATTTACTCTTATGTCGTGTTTATTAAAGTAAATTTAGGTCCAAGTTTAAATATTAAATTTTGGCGCGCTCTACCTTTTAAATTATTATTTTTACTTAAAATTAAATTATAAAAGTTTCACCAAACCACGCAATACTTGGTTCTAATGCCATAATATTATATAACGAGGGCAATGGTTGTGAGTGACCAGAATGTGTTCGCTGCAATGTCAACTAGAGAAAAAAATTTGCTTCCAGGATTACTAAAAAGAGCAATGAGATGTCAATCAGACCATTTATTATGTAATATGATACATTTTGTACTTATGTATTCATAAATAAGCAATTGTAATTTTTTCTTCCTCTTAAAGCGCGTGTATCAGTCCCACAACACACATATCATTCAAGTCTGGAGTGTGGTTCGAAAGCGAAATCTCAACGAGTTACTTCCCAGAGCCCTACCAATGACGCAACGCCCCTGATTATGCAAATCTCAACGAGTTACCTCCCGAATCCCTGCCAACGTCGCATCGTCCCTGGGACGCACTTGTAAAATTTTAAGAGATCTTTTTTTCATTTAATTCATATTTTTGTTTAACTCTAATATTTTCTTCTATATTAGTTACAAGGTTACGATTATCTAGATAATTGCAGCACATCTTTCTTTTAAGCAATGCACTTCTTAGTTCTTACAACATAATCTACTTCTAGGACAGTAGTGAAGTGAACTCCAAGCCATAGAAAGTATTACTTCCACTTGTAGCAACCTCAAAACATTCCATATATATATTAGTCACATATGAAAATAAGGATATAGTGTATAGCAACGATAAATATCTACACATAAGATGGATCAAACTAAACAAAAAATGACGAAGCCTTTTCTTCTCTTTTGCATTGTCGTCTCCTCTTACTTCAATTGCATCAAACTCTGCTCCTCCTTCGACAGCAATAACATCTTTGATGCATGTCCAACGGATGATTCAAAACGTCAAACCATATTCATGAACGGGTTCCCATGCAAGAACCCGACAAACATTTCAGCCTCGGATTTCAAGACCTCGAGGCTGAACCACGTGGGAAACACAGACAACTTCGACCTGTCCTCCACCACCATCGTCACCGCCGCGGACTTCCCGGGCCTCAACACCCTCGGCCTATCGGTTGCCAGGACCGACCTGGAAGTGGACGGCATGGTGGTGCCACACTCGCACCCGAGAGCATCCGAGATGATCTTCGTTAGCAAAGGTGTTGTGTTTGTTGGATTTGTGGATGCCGCCAATAAACCGTTTCAGAAGGTTCTTAAGGAAGGTGATGTGTTTGTGTTTCCTAAAGGTCTGCTTCACTATTGCTTGAATTCTGGGTTCGAGTTGGCTACTGTGTTTTCTGTGCTCAACAGCCAAAACCCTGGTGTGGTTAGTATCTCAAATGCTATGTTCGACTTCGATGATTCGGAGGCAATGAAAATGCTAAAGAAGAAATTGATCTCTCTTTCTACGCATGAGAACGATCAACAATGTGACTCGTTCCGGGACTTGTGATTTTAAATGAAGCTAAGGGTTGAAACAACTACTATGTTTGTGAATGATCTAATACTAATATACTGAAATAACTGTCTCTGCATATATTTATAGTAATTCAGTGGATATACATATATATATATTTTATGATGTATTATCGTGAGCAACTATATCGATAGTCTGAATTCAACCACTGAGATTAATTGTGAGAGGTTAGTGGTCGCCAAATTTCTAACACTACCTTTTTATTTTACAAAAAATAAGAATAAAAGAAAATAAGAATCATGGGTACGCAAAGTGAAAAAAAAAAAAAAAGAAAAGAAAAAAAAAGAGTGCAAAAAATAACCAATTCCACTAAACTACATATTGCTCCTTGAACTATTTGTTACAATTAAGGATAAATTCAGTGTAAAAGACTATTTTACCCTTTTTTTAAAATTAATTTTATCATTTCTTATTAAATTATCTATATTATCTTTTCTCAATTATACTATTTACCTTAATTTTATTATTAGTATCAATTTATTATAAAAAAATAGCAAAAAAGAAATGAATTTGTAATTAAAATGCTTAACTTATTATTAAAACTTCATTATTTATAATAAACCTTTATACTCAATTTAAATTTATTTCTATAGAAAAATACTTTCTTTATCATACAATATACTCCATATTGATAAAAAATTAATAAATTACTTAAATAAAAAATACATTATTTTCATGCAATATATTCATGAAAAATTAAGAAATTATCACATTTTGTGCATAATACTCCATGAACTATCACATTTTGTTGCAAAATGCCACCAATGCTTAGACTATATTTCATTAAATGACTACGTTAGATCACAATCGCTAAAAAAGCAGGTAAACAACTAGTTCAACCAACTCAGTCATTAAACAAATGGTTTGTCTTTGCAGGATTTCAACCATGAATTTATGCAAACTGGAATGATTGTCATGCCCAATTAAAAAATTATAATGGGTCTTGTTTTAAAGCATACAACATTCTTATAGAAGCTCAACAATTGTTCTATAATGTGGGTCAAGCTGCACAAAATATTTTCGCAAACTTTGCAAAATGACAGGAACAGTAGAAGTAAAAAACTTTTACAATCCTGGAATTCCAATCAATTTCTACGAAGAAGTCAATGGTGTATGGAAAATGCATCAACTAGACTGCAATAAGAAATTCAAGCAACACCTGAGTGCTCTTACTTCTCTCATTGCTAAACAAACAGCCATCACCAAAGAGCTTAAAAAGCTTTGCGTTCAAATTTGTTTATCAGTTGACTAGGAAAAGATTTTTCTTTAACTCATATTAATTGTTTTTTAAAACTTGCCCAGTTAGTTGGAGAAAATGATTTTCTAAATAAGACATTTGCAAAAATCAATAGAATATGTCTTTTTGAAAAAGTAAGAAACATGTTTCCTCTTGACCTGTTTAAAATAATCCTCTGGAAAATAGAAGATAATTTTAAAACTATCAGTTATTTCTATCTTGTTAATCACCAAGAAATAAATCACTTCGACATGATTTACAATAGAAAATTAATTCCAAAAATGACTATTTTCATTGTCCTGGTTTTGAATGGTCAATGGAACTTGTTGATTGGGTACTAATTAACAAAATTAATTACTTTCTCCTCACATGATTGTACTTCATGGAATGCTTTTCCAGCAATTAATAGTTTATTGCACCTAAAAAACAAAGCAGTTGCAGTTAGTGTATCTCAAACAAAAGATGCATGCCTTCACACAATTTGTGACTGAAGAAGACTCTTTGTCACACAACTGTTCATGAACTATCCCGATTATGGACACGAATAACACCTTGAATCCACTGAATTCTTAACAAAAATTACGAATCTCACAATCGATGTTCCCCCAGACATCATCATGGGTGCCGAACAGTCCGATGTTGATTGGCATGAATATTATGCTCAAAGCCTAGTCAGCAGTCCTCCTTTAGATGAGTATGCATGGAAGACTGACATTATCTTCTCCCTGATCGACTGCACAGCAATCCAGCACACAACAAGAAGAAATGTCAAAACTACTATTCATCAACAGTGAAAAGTAGAGTCTACTATTCATCAACAGTGAAAAGTGACCAACAAAACACTATTCATGAACAGTGAAAGCAGATTCCATCTTATCCGGATATTATTCATGAACAGTACTTGTCAAATAGTAAAAATCACTTTTATTTTCTTATTTAAACCAACGCTTTGTTTAACATTCGGCATCTGAAGTTTTATATTTTTATCTTTATCTTCTCTATCCCTCTTGTAAACGTTCTTAGTTCTTCTATCTTCCTTTTATCTTTCCGTATATTGGTATCAGAAAGGACATTATAGTCATTTAATGAAATATAGTCTAGGCATTGGGGGCATTTTGCAACAAAATGTGATAGTTTATGGAGTACTGTGCACAAAATATACTTTAAATGAGTTATTTGTAAATTCATACTTTTCTGTATTTTGTTTTATTTTTTTATTTTTTAAATTTACAAATTGTATTTTTTCTTTTTCTACCAACTAAACTTTAAATTGTTCGACAAATTTTCCGTTCTATTGGCGTTATATATCCTTAATATCCAGCTTTTAACTCAGGCACTTGGCAGGTAGCACTAAGCTAACCTCATATTAATTTTTTCATGTCCATTCTTCTATAATTTATAATTTTTTTAATATATATAACACAGGCACAAGTATAGCTGTTTTATCAACCATTGCGCGCCAAACTAGTCCAAAAACCCCTATTATACATTGATATATAAGGAGAGTCGGAGAGATGCAGATAGAGAGAAGAGAAGCAGAGAGAGGAAGGCAAAATGTTTATGCTGTGCTTCGTATTGGATCTGAGGAGCCTATCGCCTCCATTACTTCGAGACCTAAAGAAGGTATATATATATATATATATATATATATATATATATATATATGTTTGTGTATTTGTATATATTCGAAGTTACTTTTGCTTAATCTCTGAGTCTAATAGCAATTCCTTTCTCAATTCTCACTCTTATGATTATCACTCTCAAACGTTCAATTATGCATTTTCATATTTTGAGATATTGATTAGTAAATCGATTCACTGTATCGTGTATTCTCTCTCTAGTCGCTGTTGCAGCTCGCCAATTTCTATGCCGTTTCGGCTCCGATCGCTGAGAGACTACGCTCCAAGCCACTCACTGATCGGATCGGACTTTGCTATCTCTTCAAAAATCGAGTTTCTTCTTCCGATGAGGTATGGTTACCTATATCTATGTCCATATTCATGTATGTATACGTGTGTATATGTGTTTTACACTTTTTTCTATTTTCAGACTATAATGGTTCGATTATGAAATTTCACAATTTAAACACACAATAACGGCTTTCAATTTGGCAATTTCAGTCTGTGTGTACACAGTACACACACAGATTGTGGCTATTATATATATTTGTATGGATAGATTGGATATATATATATATATATATTGATGATCTGTGAATTAATCCACATTGAAAACAGTTAAAGGTTGCATACAGTCCAAGAGGAAACTTCAGTCTTCGTGATTTCCACCATGCGGTCAACAACCTGCCAACTGATGCCTTCTTGCCTGAATTAAACGATTCTGGAGCTCTCTATTGCCGTGGTAATCTTTGTATGCGTGTTAATTTACATAGACATATATAATTCCATTACTTTTTGTTTCTTTGTTATCTTAATTGTCTTTTATCTCTGATTTTTCCTATTGGCAATTCAATATGGTCATTACAATCAGATTTGAAACTTTTAAGCATCCTAAGCCATGAAGGTATATACTCATGGGGTTGTCATGAAAAAGATATTGCGAGAAAAGTGATTTTGATTAGCTCTTGCTTTGTTGAAGACCTAGATTCTGCTATGAGAAAGACTCTCATGGTGAGGCAAACTTCACCTGTATTTCGATTCTCTTTTATGTTTAAGACTGCTGGCATCATGCCTATAACCTTAGAATCTTGAATTTCCTTTTGGTGGTTCATCTTCTGATAGGATGCAGGAGAAAACTGTGTCTCAGTTGAGTTTGTATTCTTGGAGCAAAACTTGAGCCATCTTAGTGACATGCCACGAAATATCATCAAATTTGACAAGCATATCAGTGATCTCGAGAATTGCTCATTTCGAACCTATCTTCCAGGTTAAAGTTATATTGGGAACAGTGCTTCAATCATATAAAACACCTGATTTTTTTTTATAACTATTATTCATGAATGTAGATTATTATCAGTTGTTTATCCAACATGATTTCTATTTTATTTATTTTTTTATTTATTTTTGGGGAATCATGATTATGAAGTAGTTAAAAATCCTAAAAAAATTCTTTTTATTAATGCACATATGTTATTTGTTAAAATGAAGTAGCTAGGTTTGGAATATCATTCATCAACCCTTTCTCATGATAACATTGACGAGTTGTACCAGAGTTGGTGTTAGTAATAATCTCTTCAATTTAAAATCAGCATGGAGTTAGTCCCAGACATCACCTTAAGATATGCCATGTATTCTCTTCTTAATAATAATTGTAATGAAGTGTTGGGAAGGAATGCTTTTTTGTTTATTTTGTGTGTGTGTGTGTGTGTGTGTGTGTGTGGATATAACATGCCCTTAAACATCAGTGGAATCTCATACCAGGAAACTGAAATGAAGGAGTCTCAGTGCTTTCACATTTTTACTGGCAGAATCGACATAAGGAAGGAGGGAAGAGAAAAGAAAGTGAAACAAAAGAATCTAGTGAACTCTCTCTCTCTCTCTGGCCGAAGTCTAACATTTTGTCAAGATTCCAGGGCCAATAATCTTATTCAAGAATTAAGAATGGAGTATTAGTGCCCAATGAGGGACTGTTAGTGAAATGATACATTTGTCATTGTATTTTAGGCCTATAAAAGCTGGGAAAAACGTTTATACTGAATACTTACAGAGAACAAATTTGCAGATGCACAGGTATTGTGTGGCCTGGTAAAACGATGGTTACAGGAGTTGAATGATGACGTGGAAGAATCATTACAGGCTCGCTTCATCTTTAAGAGCAACATTTTTGGTTCTTTCAATCAGATATCCTGCAATTTGTACCCATCTGTCATTAACATAATCGACAGATTCAGTCCCTGTCAGGTAGTAACTTTTAGTTCTGCTTTCTCTTGGTTCTAAAGTTTCTTTTCTTGCATGTTCCACAGTGGTTAACAACTAAAATAACTTCATTCAGCAAAACAGTTATCTTATGTCATGTAAAACCCAAATCACGTTGACATTTCAGCTGAGCATCATATATCTTGAAACACTATATGGCATTTATTACTGGTTTGATGGATTGTACACCATGTACATGTATTCTCCACTTTGTCTTTGCAATAACTTTATTTATTTGTATATCACCCTCCACCTTGAATACTTCTAGGTAGGACACATAGCATATATCTTAAATAGTTAATATACTTGCAAGTATATGTTTTTTAAGCACTTCAGTCATCACTAATTACAGCAGGAACTATATTGTTATAGCTTTTGAAGTAGTTTTATACGTTTAGAACCTTGTGTGGTGGAATTAGAATTGCGGGCCTAAACAGACGATTTCATACTCCCTTTGTTTGGTTGGGGGCCCTTAGATTTGCCACAATTCAAACATTGTTGCTACTAATTGCTGGTCTAGGAATCAGGAGTTAATTGGTTTCTAGTAGAATACTAGAATTCAGAATTTTAGGTCTATTTTTTCTAATCAGTTCGTATCACTTCTATTTGTTTTATTAGCTATAATTTAGCTTCCTCTTTCCTTTGGAAAATTCATAAAATCTGCAATTGATATGCCATAAACCAATTGAGATTAGGACCATTGCCCAAGTCTGTAATATGTCAATGTACACTATGCCAAAAACAAAATTAGAGAGATAAATAGATCTTTACCAATTTTAACTAATAATAACTGATTTAAATATAGTAGGTATCAGTTATTTAAGTATAGAGAGGAAAAATAAAAAAGTAATCACATACGGAGTACAAAATTTGGCGACACTAAGTTCTAATCTCTTAACAGGAATTTTAATTGTGCTTTCAGAGGTCTTATCTTGTCTTGACACTGAAGTTCAAGTCTATAGAAAGATGTAAATCTGGGTTGGGTTGTTCAGGTTATAAGTTTTCCCAATGTTGAAACTTGGCTGGCTGCATCTACAGCCATAGTCTGTAGTGTACTTTTGGTAAGTATTAAGTAATACTAGCTAGGTGTTTCTAGGTTACTCTTTGTTTATTTGAGAAATGTATTACATCATATATTTCCTTTGACAGGATACCTTATCCAGTTGCTCCTTTCTTTTTTTTTTTTTTTTTTTGTGTGTGTGTGACATTGTATTTTATTAATATGTACCATTGTTACGGACCTTTTACAGTCCCCAACCCCACTCCTTTCTTATTTGGGGGGAATTGCAGATGGTCTATAAGTTGTCACTGGTATTAAATAATTTCGTTTATTGTTCTTCGTATTTGTTGTAAATGGTTCATATTCTAATCATATAGGTATTGGTGTTTCCACAAGTAGACGTGCAGGTGTCATGGTATTCCATTAGATGGTGCAACTGGAAAGACAAAGAGGTCGTCTTGTCCAGTTACAGGCAGTGATCTAGGAATGCTTGATTTGAATGAAAATTCTGTGAAGGTTGGAGAACAAACAATCCTGTTTCTGCCCTCTTTCAAGAGCTGTGTGAAGCATCAGCAAGCTTCTTTGCCGATTGACTTCAATGTTATTGAGAGGACTAATTTAGGATCTCTATGCGAAGGTAAGTGACAATTAGAACACTGCCTGCCAATTTCTGTAAAAAATGGAGATTAATTTATTGAGGTAGTTTCATTTTCTTAAAACTAATGCTTTTCATCTGTTTTGTGGCCATTTTGGCGCCTACCATTCCTTGTGATGAAGGAAAGAATACTGCTTTATAACTAGTGTTAAAATATTGTTTAATGCTAAGAATTGATGCTCACCTCAAGATTACTACCTTGTGTCTCAATCCTTTAGTGTCATGCCTTTTGACTGTGAACTTGACATCTTACAATTTGATACTGGCTTGTGCCTTTGGAATGTACACCTCCCATATTAAATAAAAAATTATGGTCCAGTGACTGTTTATCAAAGTTTTACTTGTCATTATAATTTTATTATTAAAAAAATATTATTCTTATTTTTAATAATTTAACCATTCAAAATTCTTTTATTGCCTGCTTCACATATCTTATGCTGAGGCTTGAAGAGATTTCCTGCATTATAAATTCTTTTATATCACTTCAGAGAATTTCGTATTTTACCTTGAGAGTTAGAATAAATTCTGATGGGTCTTATTGGTTGGGCAGCTCAGATCAATGGGTTGAACATTTCAGATACATTATGCATATGGTATTGTAATACCAAAAAATAAAGAGCATTCCACTTTTCCCTCTCTTTGTTTCTTGTATTGGGTTGAAAGGCACAATTACTTTTCCACGTCTCACAGATTTGTAATTTTAGCTAAAGATTCAGCATCACACTTTATTATGTCAACTTTCCTCTCAAGGATGGATTCAGCATCTACAACTAACTCTTACTTTTTGGCGTTCTCAACAGGGCTTGTTTTAGGAACGTCCTACATGGTAACTTCATCAACTTTTAATGAGTCAGATGATACGTCAGAGCTAAATACTCAAGGTGTGTGAAAAGGCTCCATTTAAGTTTCTGTTGTGCATTGTTAATGTTAAATAAGAGAGATTTCTGTAGTAACACTGCCCTTGGCTTTCACTCTATGATCTATCTTGATTAATGTTAGTTAATTTTCTTGTTTTTACTTTTGAGTATTTCTCTACAAATTTGGTGTCTATTCCATTTTATGAGACAGGCTGTGGTTTGGCAGTTTTTCAGGGGCTTTCAAGTGTACTTCATTCCTTTGACCAGGGTTTAGTTTGCTATTCAAATTGTCAAATAGAAACTATGATGGAGGCTTCCTTCTACTGCTATTATATTCTTCTCCCTTCAGACAAAGGTCTAATGATTCTCAGGGTAAATAACCTTTGTCATTTATTTTGGGCTAACTCTGTTCCTGCCAATTGCTACCTCAATTCAAGTTTCTAAATTGACACTGATGTGCTGACAGACTACTACTTTAACTATTCATAATTGTCAGCAATGAGAACTTTTTACATCACGTGCTTGCCAAGTTTACCCTTATTTTAGTTGGGGGAGAAAATGATCGAGTTGTTAGGGAGGCAAAGAAAGAGAGGAAGTGGAGAGGAGAGAAATAAAGCTGTTGGATTCTGTTGTTGCCACGCATAATGATTGTGATGCAGAGTGGGAAGCAATACCCATTAAAACTTAATCAACTCAGGCAAAAAGTGAAGTTCAAATACCAAAAGTGGCTACTGATTAGATTTTCCTTATTAATTCTGAATGTGGATTCTAGGGTCGTGGATTCTAGGTTCTAGTTGTAGAGCCATAAGTTGAGCATGGGGTGAATTGGAATCAAATTTGAGGGACAGGTTTTTACCTCTTGATTATAAGCAGAATTTGTTTAAAATTTTGAACTCTTCTTTAAATGGACATGAGTCACATGAATTTTGATGATTACCCCAAACACCAGGAGAAATGAATTTAAAGTTGAGATACAAGCTTGAGCAGTGTTGGCTAAAAAAGAAGATGACGTAACTTCCCACCATTCATATGGAATCGAAGTTCAGATAATGGATTATTTGTTAATTGTCCAAGCATGGCTCGCAGTCGATGTTGCTGCTGTAGTCACGAACGCGGTGTAATTGAATCTGCTTGTGTCGGCGTAACGTACCAAAATCGATTATCGCACTTGTGAATTTTTCTTGACCTTGCACATAGTGCCCGAAGTGCAGCAAGTGCACCCGTATGTGACTTTTTACAACATAATTTGTTAAGGGTGGAATTTTTATTAAATTTTAATGATTTTTATTGCATTTTTGAAGATCAGTTAACACAAGTAACTTATTAATGAATTTTGTGTCATTATTGTTATTAAAAATGTTTAATATTATACTTTTAATGAAATTAATGAAGAATAAACTCAATCATGAAATAAATGAATTCTCATATACCTTATATTGTTAGATAGTTATATGTATTGTTTAAATTGTTAAGGGAAGTATAGCCTTTTTATCTCCGGTAAAGTGCCAAAAAAACCCATGAACTATTGTGCTTTTGCAAATAACCCCCTGAACTACAAAACTGCCCCCCTAAACTAATGATTTGTTGCAATTAAGGACAAACCCATCACAAAAGTCTATTTTACCCTTTCTCATTTCTTATTAAATTATTTTTATTACTTTTAAAACTGTAAGGTCATAGGACTTTAGGTTGGCAAATCTTGATAGAAACTAGTCTCTATTTTTGCTTATTTTTATGTTTGTTAAAGTCTCTAGTTAGTTTAATTAGTTGTGGTACCTTGTCCAAGGTAGATATGTGTTATGTATGTCTCAATTTCTTATTGGTTGGGTCTTGGGTTGTATTGGTTTGGGGATGTGTTATTAGACTTGGGGCCAAAGTAATTGTACTTGAGGCCCAAGTAACTGTATTCCTACCCAACAAGGATTTGTATTACTTGTTCATCAAGCTATGGTTGGGAACTGTCAATAGATGGAGAGGGAGTTGAGTGGAGAAGAAAAGAGAATGGAGGGAGTGAGAAGAGAAGAGAGTGAGTGAGGTAGAGATATGCAATAAGTGTGTGGGAATTCTCTATAGTTGTGTATTCTCTTGATTCAGTATAGTGGATTTTCTTCTCTCCGTGTACATAGGCGAATCACGTTAAATATTGTGTTATTATATGTTTTTTTTAGTCATGCTTCAGCTGTGCCGAACAAAGGAGTTTAATTTCCAACAATATGGAATTCCACATATATTCAAGGAAAAATTGTAATTGCAACTTATATTGGGACACTCACTAAACATGCACTCATCACATGTTTGATTCAAATAAATCCTTTTTGGTATGCAGTGCAGTGTTTTTAGGAACTTAAAATAAAAATCCCATTTATAATAGGACAGCAGACTTGCATTAATCGAGGGATCCATTGAAGCCTTACCGGCCTGGTGTCAATTGATCGACCTAGATCAATCGAGCAGTTTGAATCTCAGTTTCCTTTTTAAATTGAAACAAACAAAACCCTAGAGTTTTTCTGAATTTGAAGTCCATAATAAAGGCACTAAAAGTTCAAAAAAAAAAAAAAAAAAAAAAAAAAAACACAACATACTAGAGCGTCCAAGCATCCAAGATCACTAGAGCATCCAATCATACTCATTACATTTTTAACCTTTCTGCTTTTGTACTTCTCTGCTTCTTGTTCTAAATTTCTAATTAAACTAAGAATGAGCATGCAGCGCCTTGCAGGATCAGAGGATGTTTTGCCATCCCCGGATGTCAGTCAATTATTTGGTTCTTCATCATCTAAGGAGATTGAAAACTCTGTCCAAGGCTCTTTACTGAAGGTTGGATTTAGTTTAAAACTATGTTGAGAATTTCTTTTTCTCTTTATTTAACTTTGATAATCTTTCATTCTTGTAGTCAATTTTAGTTTGTTTGTCTTCAATGCCTTAATAGATTCTGTATAAAGTCGAACATATTTTAAAATTGCTACTGCTACCTGATGATAAATTACAGGGTACAGGAATGCAAATCCATTAGCGACATGGACAAGATTTTCTAGGTTTCTATATGGATATGACATATTATAGAAAAAAAGTTGTTTGTTCAAATGATTATGTGTAGGGAAATCTGTATATTGTACTAGATCCTAAAAGAGCATCATTGCAACTTTATTAATATAAATTATTTAGATCTCTGATGGTTCAATTTTTTTGCTGAAAATAGATAAGCTTTCCTTGTTAGTGGAAAATTATTGAGCTTGCTTAAATGATGTTTTCATGCCTATGTTTTTTCAGATGGAAGTAAATGACTACAATCCCTTCCTGCATGAGAGAGGCTTCCATCAAAAACTAAACTTGCTTGTAAAAGAGAGCTTGCAGTTTGGGTATTTATCTTCTCCATTCAGCTTGAGACTTCCTCATATATACACTACACTGAAAGGATACATACATTAACAGCTCCTTTGTAGTTGTGGTCCTTCTGCTAAAATTGAGTAAGTTTTCTGTGGTTGTTAGTTATTTCCAGGGAGAATATTACTGACCTCCCCTGAGGGTTTTTAATATGTCTCATGGTCACCATAGGTTTAAAAAATAAGCACAAATCTTTCTGCCGGCGGACAAGATAAACAGAATCATCATTCGGTTGCTTTTTGGCCACATTGACTGCATGAATTGTCCATAATAACCATAAGATGTTTGGGAAAGCTCAAAATTTCATTTCTAACCCTATAAACAAAAACAACAAACACACACACACACACGAAAAAAAGAAAAAAAAAAGAAGAAAGAGATGAATTGCCCTAAAGGTGAACGGGTAAGTTTAGAAGGAAATGGTTAGTGTACTATGAAAACATGAAGGTTGCTATTTCTATGTATAATAGTAGCTATATATAGGCAGATTCCTGGTGCTTCTCGACAAAATCAAGCCTTTAATGGACTGTTGGTGGATGAGCATCTGAATCCGATTCCATTCCTTCATCACAATTCTCTAAATCATAATCTTTCGATGAGGTCACTTCCATATGCTTACAACAGAGGTTCAGAGTGAGGTGTTTCACTAATTTCTTCAATGAGCTTTTGCAAAGATCATCTTTGCCGGGAGAAATTTCCTCTCTAGGATTTGGGAATAGCCATGTTAATGAGAGTACTCATGAGCTTGGAAAATGTCAAAATCTTCTGTTTGTTGTTCTCCAATCCAATAATCATCATATGTAAAAGCAGGCAAATTGATGAATTTACCCATGGCAATGTAGGACATGAACTCTAAGTGGGGATGGGTGAGTTCGGGATGATTTTTGGGTTCTATGTTGAGCTCTAAGATCTTGTAGAGTGCTTGAAACTGAGGTTTGAGGTTTTTATTTTAAACCTTGCAATATAAAGGACTGGGTGATTGCATTGCATGGCTTTGATTTATTGAATGGATACCCTTTCATCTTCTTCTTTTGGTAAACCAAACGATCCTTCGGCTGAGCGAGAGCAAGAAGAGAAACAACATTTTCAACACTTTCTTTGTCGATTGACCGACACTCACTGGAGACCTCTTGTTTGATCGACTGACATAGACTGAAAAATATATTTCCAACCCTGCAAGCCCTTAATCGATCGATAGATCAGTTGACATAGTCTATATGTGGATTCTTAGACTAATTTGAAAATTTTTGAATTTTAATTTTATGTCTAAGACTTTTAATACACTAAAATAAACATATAAAATTAATATAAAACGTATAAAAATAATCCTTTTTTGGGTTTTGTCTCTTCGTTTTTTTTTTTTTCTGTGTTTTAAATAAATAAATATATAAAATTAAGGCCTAAACCATGCCATTTACTCAACTTTTTAAATCAAGTAAAAAATCCAAATGCTTCAAATTGAAATTGAACCCACAAATTTAATTTATTTTAGTTAGATACTCACACACACCCACAAATGCCCCTATGGGGCGCAAACTCCTCACCTCCCCTTTAAGGGACAAGAGGTTATACGAGTTGGGTATGTCATAGTGGTCTCAAATTTTAATTATTTCAAGCTCAATAAACTAAAAAATTTAAACAATTTGGTTCAAAGTTTTGTGCATTTATAATTCCTCAGAAATCAACTCAGAAAATCACGTGCACATTAGAATTAAACTTGACGCATATATAAACCAAGTCGAATTTATGTTCTAAAACAAAAATAATTTTCAATAAGAAAGATTTGAGGGTTTACACATATTTTCAATTCTTTTCAACTTTTCTTTCTTTTCGCGATGGCTTTCATGCTAGTGGTAGATAGCTATTTCCTAAGATGTTTAATTATTGTTCTATTTTCTATTTAGTCTTGGTAGCTTTGGACAATTCCCATAGGTAGCCATTTTCATGAAAAATATTCAGTCTTGAGACTGCCTTAACAGAAAATTTTGTTTTTCCTAACAAGTTAGTCATTATTTAAGTTAAAGTTCACAACTTAGACAAGTAAGCATATATGTGAGTAATTTAAAGAGTTTTTCACTAATAAAAAAAATAAAAAACATAGTCTTACTTGAAATTATTTTAAAAGAAACTATACTATAGAAACATATACAATCACATAGTCTTAGGTTTCCAGAATATAATCCATTAAAAATAACCCTAAGCTATGATCTTTCTTTTATGTAATCACTTATCATTTGATTTTTAAGGTTTTGATGGCCCAAGGAATCCAATGGAATATCCAGAAATATTTTTTCAAGTCATTCCTGCTTAACCAAATTGATTTTTTGTTCATTGAGACATCTTGGTTCCTATTAGGTGACTTATTCTTTTTTGGATTTCTTCTTAACATTCTGATTTCTGTTGGGTGGATAATTATTAAACATGGCATTCTTCCAAAAGCATCCATTTTTCAGCATCGCCATGGCGTTGATAACGATAAAATCTAAAGTGCCCTACCTTATCACTGCAAGTGCAGTACAGAAAAGTGGCTGAAATTTTTTTGAAGGGCGAACAACTTGATTATTCCTAGATTGAATACGAGAAGTTTGAGCATTCTTTGTCATTATGCTTAGTAACATGAATAGAAATATGTTTAGTCCTAGTAAAAGCAGGAGTAGTAGGTAACACAACTTTTGTTGGAGAAGTTTCAATATAACCTAAGCCAGTCTTATCATATGAAGATTTACCCATTAAGTAGCTTATCTAGATGTAAACTTAGATGCTACTACCTTAGAGGTTTCAAGTTCAGCCTCTAATTTTTCAATGCTTTTAATATAATAGTTCTCTAGGTTTTGTACCTCATAATCTTGTTCTAAGACTTTTATCTTTTAGAGCAAATCAGTTCTACCTTTTCAGGTTTATCTATGTACAATGTTTTCTCAGGCAATATTTTCTTAGTTTGTTAAAAGTTTGTTCTAGCTTCTTAATTATTAAGATTGTTAGCTTGAACAGTCTCCTCAAATATTTAATTAACCGTTGCTTTGAGCTTTGAAGGATCATCATTATCATCTTTTTAATCTTCACTTCCAATATAACTATTATTATCTTCTTTGGTATCACTATTCAATTCAGAAGTTCTCTGGAAGAATTTTGAGGTTCTACACTTGAAACCAACGCAACTTGTGATACCTCCTCAGCCTTAGAAGAAGAATCATCACTATCTAATTCAGATGAATTAGAATGCTCCGTAGCTTTCTTCTTCTTATCTTTGTTATTTTTCTTTAGGTTTCTTAGGACATTCTTTTAGAAAGTGACCTTTCTCGCCACAATTCCAGCATATTATATCCTTCGAAGTTCTTTTAGATTTTTCCTTCCTAGGTTCAAATTTTCTTGAAAACTTACCTTTATTGCTAAATTTGTTTTTCAAAAACTTTTTAAATTTCCTAGCAAGTAAAACAATTTCTTCGGCAGACTCGCTGCTAAAATCATCACTGGGATCTTTCTTTATAACTCAGTGCAAGGCTTCTAGCCTATTAGTTGGAGGATTGTGGAGTTCATAGGTTTGTCCTGATCCTACTAAGTCAACTACCTTAATATTATCTATATCTTTACTTTCTTCTATGGCAGTAACCTTAGCTTTAAATGTTTCAGAAAGAGATCTAAGTATCTTTGTCGCTGCTTTCAATGGCCAGAAAACACACCAGATGTGTCCTAAGCAGTGTTTTTCGCTCCATACTCATGGCACATATACTTCCATGGGGTGATTTTGGAACGCAACAAAACTTTGTGGACGATGAACTTTGACAGAGTTCACACAGATGCAGTAAAGATAATAGGTCTTCTTGATAGTAAAATTGACATAATTTTCCAGCAAAAATTGCGGTGTAATTCTATACTTACGAGGATGAAAGGAGGCTGCTAATCTAGAATTAGTCAGGTCATCCTTCCAGAAAATACTTGCTCATAAAACCTTTCCCTGGCATCAAAGTTGTTAGAACCAGTGCTCTGATACCATTATAGTCGGCCCACATATAATAACTAAGTGGCAGTGATATAACCCCAGGTTAGAGAGGGTTGTATAAATCTTGTTAAGGCATATGAATGTTTACAGAAAGACAAGGGAAGGAGGATATTTTTTTTTTTTGAATTTGAATGATTAAACTGGGAATTCCTGTGGTGTATTTAAATTTTACTATCCACCCCAGGTGCCTTAGAGCTACCTATATGACCATTCATAGGGTCACAACTGTTCCTGTAAAAGTTGTGCCTGAAAGTATATAAATATAAACCACCTCTTCTTCTCATCCAGGAAACAACCATCACCATCAGAGTTGTGATCATACATGGTGAGGTGCGTGAGTTCAAGTGTGATCATTCTGCCGGCCAACACCTTTCAGCTCAAGAAAAAATATCAAAGGAACTCAGAACCTTGTTAAGTTATTAAGAATATGACGTAATAATTGTCAACTCCAGAAAAACTGAGGCTAAGTCTAAGGCTTGTAAATGCGAGTTCATTGAAGCTGGGGCCAAGTTGACTGTGATCCATGATAGAACTGGCCCAGATTTTTTGAAATCCCCATAGAGTAACCAAATCTTTTGCCATGGTCATCTTTGAAGAAAACTAGTTATTGCTTGCATAAATTGAGACAAAGAAGCTCTATTTTCTGTTGTACATCCAATTGAAATTCAGCCTCTCAATTTTGATTTGAGAAGAAAATTTCAGTGAATGCATAATGTTTAATTGTAGCATTCATATTTAGTCTGATTCATTATGTTCTAAAATATCTGGTTTAGGTTTTGTCAAAATTCTTTTCAGTTTACTATATTTCGGATATATGGTCTTGGTTCCATGTATGAAGTAAATTCATTATGGAGGATGGCTTTGTTCCATGAAGTGATTGAAATTTGAATTCTGATGTAATTCTTTCTTTAAACTCTCTGACACTTGACTGGGCTTGTGTTAGTAGGCTTCATCACTGCTAAATCACAATTATTTGGCAATACTATCAAAACTAATGGTGAAGTTTTTCTTTGATGAACCAGTTGAAGCCATCTAACTTTAAATTTGAATATCAGCTCAATAACTTCCAGTTGCAAAGTTGAGACCTCTGAACCGAACTCAACGAAGAGAGATTCTTCAGCAGAGGCTATGCCATCAAAGCCAACAATAGATGTTGTAATAATAGATAAGGAAACTCCAGAGATGGATCTGACTGTCCAAGAAGACAAGACTACCGCTAGCATTGCGGCAGAATGGGAACAGCTGATTGTCAGTGAAATCCCCAAAATATATTCTCCCACTTGTGTTTCTAAACCGAAGTTGGATCGACCAGTCCTGTCACAGGTAGATACTAATAGGCAATTGGATGAAAGAACATCGAGGATATTGGAGAGGCTGGAGATCCCAAAACAGCAGAAAACAAAGGTAGTTTCACCCATTATCGTAAGCGGTGTCAATGTTGATGCTTGTGTTTCAAGAAAGACGCCTCTGATCCCGTTCCCATCCACTCAAGCAGCAGACCAGAACACAACAGGATCCCAACCTATGAAACCCAATTTCCAGAGGCTAAAAAGAAAACAGAGGTGAAAAGGGGATTTGATTCATATAAAGCCTGCACGCATTCTTGCAGAAATGTTCCACGAGGTTAGTGAATTCCTTTTTTTTTTTCTCTATTTGTTTGGTTTAGTATTTCATGCATACTCCTGCTACATGTACTGTAAATACAAGAACCTGCATAACCGTTCTAATATGAACAGTATGATCAATGAGGCTGGAAATACAAACCACAGTTTTCCTGTTCATGTTTTCTTTCTGCCATTCCATTATCCGAACTGTTATATATTTGGGATTTGGAGTGTCTCCATACCATAACTGTCCTTTTCCGTCCATTTTTGTCACCTTCCCTTTCCATCTATTTTAGTCACCTGCTGTTGAATTAACTAAGTTATATTTTGAGTAGTTGGATCCTAGTTCCAGTTTACCGTGGATATTGAAATGGACAGTCTTTCAATCGAGAGCCTCCAACCCAGATTTATATCCTTCTTGTATACTCCCTACTCCGTACTAATTTGATTTCGAATGGATAATACTATCAACACAGGAATCTAAATCTCTTATGAACTTGCAGTAGCTTATCATATGTAAAATAAGACAGAAATCGAAAACTGAATTATATTAGGGTTCCTTTAAAGTAATCTTACCCTTATTTAGCTGAAAAGACTCTTACAAATGAACCAGATACGTAATCTAGTACCTCTAATCAGAAGGAAAAAATGACATCTGAGATCATTTTAAAATGCAGATACATATCCTAGTTATTCGTATTACTTTTGTCATCCTCCACTCTAGCAACAAGTACGACTTAGAACATCAAATTTGGATATTCATCTGTTTCTGATATTAACTCTGCCATCATCCATTCATAGTATACATGAAAGCACAATCTCTGTCACAGAAAATACTTCTTGATTCTGATTCTACAATGTGGCAATGAGTATATAAAGTGAACACCAAAAGTTAGTTCTTAGGCCATTAATTGACATGAGTCTCATCTGCAAATTGATTCAGTTGAAATTGTTTCTTAGGCAATGACAGTATTATTACAAATTCAGAGGGTTCTTAGAAAAAAGAAAATGAAAGCAGAGATTTTGTGCATGCATGCAGCCCTCAGATTGGGTTGGGGTAGAGAATGATTTTAGATGAATCTCTAGAAGGTCTGAATTATTTGATCGAATCATGGTTTACAATTGTTGAAAGATAAAAAAAAATTGAAGAGAGAAATTAAACATGAACACAAGGATATAACGTGGGTCAGACATCCATGGCACAAAACTCGAAAGACTATCACTTTTTTTATATTCTCTCTTAATATTGTTTAAGACGAGCACCTCCATCTATGGGTGATGAAAGAATACAAGTGATAAATATGGAAAATATATTGATGGAGAATTCTTAAAATCAGTCCCATAAATCACTCCAATAAAAATTCTATCATAAGTTAATTTCACTCCTATGATATATCCCACATCACCCCTCAAGTTGGTATGTGAAAATTTTCTGAAGTGTCCAACTTGAAACTGAACACAAAGTTGTCGAGAGCCCAAGATAACTTGATCCGAAGATCTCAGTTGATTTAGAGTTTCAAGGCGAGATAATTCATAGATTCAAAACGAGTTTAGAGTAGGGTATGATAAACCTATTTTGATGCCATATTGAAAGCTAAATCTTAGTGAGAGAGAAGGAGAATTGACAGTATATTATTTCATATTCCAAAGAATGATTACAATATGTATATATAATGTTCTCAAGAATATAAAATAAGGGATATGTGAGATGTAGGTGGTTGGTGGTAGGTAGGTGCAGTGCAAGGAATGTATCTTAGACATATATTGTGTGTCTAGGTAAATCAGTAATTATGCCCCTAATCAAGGAATAGTTGACTATGAGTTGTATTCGGACACTCTACCTTAAGTTGGAAAGTAGATGTCAACGACTTTCAGTTTGTTGTAGATAGAATCGATAGCATTCTAGGGAAGATCTTTAGTAAAGATATCTGCTAACTAATTGATTACCAAACAATACGAATGAAGTCTTATTTTATTTGGAAGTCACCTTAATTAGAACGATTGAAATGACAATCAACCTCAATATATTTGGTTCACTCATGAAAAACCGGGTTATTGGTAATGTGAATAGCTGAATAATTATCGTAATAGAGAAAAGATGGGTTTTAAGCAGAAATTTTTGAACTCTTGTAGTAGAGTTCTCAAATAAATTTTTTATTTTATTTTGGTAGGGGGTAGACTGATGCACTGGCTTGAGTATATAAATATCAATAATGAGTTGTATTTACCAAAGATTATGTAGTTTAGTCATTTTGTCTTTGAAAATGAATTTTTACTGATTAGAAAGTTGTTAGTCTTTAAATAAGGTTTTTTGAAAAATGTATGCTTTATACTTTTGGACTACTTGTACATATTCTAATGAAATGAAATAAAGCAAGCAGATTGTTTTAGTTAAGACCCATCAAAATTGGACTACTTGTACTTGGAGTGGAGTGATTTGCTTAGTGGAAGGTGGCCCCATCAAAATTGGACCATTATGTAGGACGTTAAGAACAATCTCGAATAGCTAAAATTTAAAGAGTTGAGTGGCTGACAATTCAACTAATCAGGGTTGGAGTTTGAGATTTGACACCAGATGCATATAATTTAAAATCACGAAGAAAAGAAAAAAAAAAAAAATACTGTGGCTGACAATTCAACTAATCAGGGTTGGAGTTTGAGATTTGACACAAGATGCATAGAATTTAAAATCACGAAAAAAAAAAAAAAAAAAAAATTTTACAACATAATTTTATATTCATTCACTCGTTGATCCAATCAAGAGTACACTCCATCCTTCTGTTACATTTACATGGAGGTTAACTCATGACTTTTGAACGTACTCATGACTTAACAGCATAAATAAAAGCAAATAAACACAGCTTAATTGCATCGTAATGCCCACCAAATTCGATGCATCTTGATCAAAATATTAATTATTCAAGACTCCAAGAACCTCACATGGGTTTCCGAGCACTTTATGTACACCTTTAATTTCGTCTTCACGATATGTCGCACTTGTCCGTCAATAATTGCAAACTCGTGCTGTAAAGTGGTACGTGGAAACACACAACACAAACTTTAGCTTTTTACATAAGAGAGAGAGATTGGGATGGTGGGCACTCTAGATATTTGTTTGATCTGCTGTTTCTTGCATTGAGGTCAAAAATTCTCATTGTGAAATTCAAATTTGGTGTTGATCCTGGGATTGTGAGAGAATTCTGAAGCTAGCTTTTTTAGGTCCTTCACAAGTCCTTGTTGTCCACAGTAAAACACCCCTGCGTTTATCCAATGACAAAAACATATTATAAGTTGTTCTTATCCATTAACAAAAGCACTACCACTGCTATACATGCATGCTCATGTATGTTTCATCTTTTTGTATGAAAATGACCAAAAAAAAAAAAAAAACAATCCCAAATCAAAACGGAAGCTATGAGTATCCATCGGACAAAAATGATAGACTAAGAAAGAAAAGATGTTTAAAAAATAGGACAAAAACATAAAAACAAAAACATATAAGTTGTTCTTATCATTAACAAAAGCGCTACCACTGCTATACATACACACATGTATCTTTCATCTTTTTGTATGGAAATGACAGAAAGTGAAAAGAACAAAAAATTTCCAAATCAAGACCAAGCTATGAGTATCATCTATGGGGGATGTGCATGAACCCTAAATTAGCCAAGAAAGAAATTATTGTTATAACAAAAGAGTAAAGGCCCATTTGGCATGCATTTTAAGTTTTTATTTTTTAATTTTTTTTGGGATAAGTTTAGGTATTATGTTTTTGGTCAATATCAAAACAACCGTTTTGTTGTAGGAGTGTTTTTGGTCAATACTAATTTGGTGATATAAGTTTGAGCTATAAAATCTAATATGTTATAAACTATTCCAAACTAATATTATCTGTTTTCGTCCCAAATATAATATAGGCCCAAATTTAAATTTAAAGACCAATATCAAAAAAATAATTTAATAACATATTCCAAATAGTTGATTTGTTACATAAAATTAATTTAGTTGTTGTCATCATTAGCAAAAAGCACTACCACTAGTGTGTTGTGTGTGCTTCTTCTTTTTTTGTTTTAATTTTCTTTTAATTTATTATTATTTAATTAATAATAGAGGGTGTCACCACTCTCTTTAGAGGCAAGACAAATCCCTTTGGATACCGGCGGCCACTCTGAACCACGAGTTTTGCATGAGTGCATGAGGGATGTTTTTAATGCCCCAAAAATAAAACACGACGACTTCTAAAATACAAGAAAGTCTACGTTATCAGGAATATTTACGTGTGGTAGTGGTACTCAAAAACTTGGAATTAAGTTGGCATAAGCCCTCCAAATTACATACCATATGCCAAATTTATTACTATCCTTTTGGGAAAAGTGTTGGGGGCTTGGCTTGGGCTATCCCTGGCCCAGGTTCGAGTCTCTTCCTCATCCTTTATTACCGCGATTAAAATTGTTACTGAAGTGTGGGGCCATCGACAGCTTTCCCGATTTGCAGCCTGAGGTGGGTCCTTAAAGGGCCCTCCCAAGGGAGTTCCGGTGCCAGCCAAAAAAAAAAGTGTTTCACTTTTTTATATGAGATAAATATAAATCCTAATTAAATTGGATGGAGGCTGAGTAATGTGAACCTAAAATCATCTCTATAAAATATAAAAGCAGAATAAGTTTAGCATATAATAATAATAAAACAATATATAGGAGATTAATGATATTAGGTATCAGAATTAGTGAGACTCACCAACTGTAGCATCACTGTGAATGCGAGCAATGCGTTTGAAGACCTTGTACCAATTAGGCCTGCCGAAATGGCACTTGACACAGGTACCAGAGACAACATCGACACCATTCTTGGCATGGTGGAGTGACTGAATCATGGCAATGAGAGCCGAGCGAGCGTCACCTTCTTCGTAGACACTAGTGCAGTAGTTGCGCATCTCTATCACTCCATTCTTATCCATTTTAGGAATCTCATTCATCACTTCTTTAAACCATTCATACGAACCTTGTTCCTTCGTCATCCAGTAGAAGTATGCCCTTTTTGTATTGAAGTGGCTGTCACCACCAGCCTCTCCATTCCCGTTGTTCACAATGTCCTTAACAATGCTGATCATCGGTGTTGCCCCGATTCCTAACCCTACTAGCAACACCACTTCGTATTTCTTGTAGTCTTGTGCTGGTGCTCCGTACGGACCATCAATCAACACTCTTGGAAAACTGTGAATCATTCTATCAATCAATCAATAATCATCGATCACCATTATATTTGTCAAGAGAAATGCTAGTGACAATCGTGACGATGAGGTTGGACTTTGGAGGGAGTTTTGACTGTCTCGAAACCATACCTCTTCCACTAAATGCATCTTTGCTATATAGTTCCAAAAGTATGTTTGATTTGTTTCTCAAAAAAAAAAAACATGTAATGTTCTTAACCATCAACAATCTCGGAAAACTAACCTCAAGGGGTTGGCCTAGTAGTAAAATTATTTGGGTTTTGGTGTCTTCCTAGTACCAAGTCTGGGGTTCGATTCAGCTTACGATACTTGGGGTCACGCCTCTGTTGTCATACTTAGCGACTTACCCGACCCGAGATAGGGAGGTGTCCTTCTTGGGTTTTTGAGAATTAGGTGGGACAAAGCCTCATATATCGCGAGTTATACAAAAAAATAAAAAAATAAAAAAAATCTCGAAAAACTGTATATTAATATTCTTTGCAACCAACGACTCCATTACTCGGTCAATAGCCTTAATCATCGTCATCAATTAATTTAAGAACTAATTAAAGGAGGAATAGTGTGAAAGATGAGGTGAGAGAAGTCCATACAAAGCTCTTCATTCAACGAATGAGATTAGACATTGCTCAACAATAATTCTCTAGGAGAGCATTCCTCATCCATTAAACACAAACATGTCCTACTTTCAAAAGTACGCTTGATTTGTTTTTAAAAAAAGATATATAAAGATGATAAATGTCTCCAACAGTGGATGAAAATGACAGCATGCACTTTAATTATTGGTCCATTCTGAATCAGTGCCAGTCATGAGAGGATGGTGCAAACATGTTTGTTACTATGGTTTAGCCATATCTTATGACATTATTTAGTATTTAGGCAATGTTTTTTATTTGTTTTTATTTTTTTATTTTTTATTTGAATAAAACGTGATTAATAGTGAAAGTATTGGATGAATGAAAATACTCAGAAATTACTTACACCGGTTTCTTGTTTCCCTGCACACCGGCCTCCAACTCCTAATAAAAAACATGTAGAGTTTAGTATACTTAAAATTTTAATTATAGACATGGTACTACAAACAATAATCTCACCCGTTGGAACACAGTTTTGATTTGTCGTGTCCAATCGCCGAGAGCTCGGATATGAACACTCAGTTTGTCTTCTCCAGGGGCTGAAGTTATGGAGAATGGGTGCCTGCTAATACCAAACTAATTAATAATTGAAGTCATGAAAAAGCAGCACATTTTAAATATGTAGTAGTATATGGTAAGACGACCTACCATTCAAATCGAGAAACAGCAGCACATTTTACAAACATATATTGCCCACTTTTGTATTCGAAGCCGTCAGGCTTTGACATGCGAAGCATCAAAACATTTCCAGGATAAACATGCGCCTTCATATTCATTGTGAACATAAAAAATTCAGGCATATATTAGAATGGAACTCTTTGCCTGTAGTCTACCTAGGCTTGAATACATGTGCAAAGACGACTAAATCGTATACCTCTTGTATATCAACTTGCTCGGTAGTAGATCTAAATGCTCTAATGAATCTTTCACCCACGTATAGCATAATCGGAACTGCCAAGTACATCCAGGTCTGCCAATGACAAAGAGTTGTGTAGATTTGAAGTTTCAAGATTCATATTTATGCATGGGTTGAAATGGAATTAAATATATATGACATGGTACTAACCGTTTTCTTGTACCATTCACGGATCAAGTAAAGCTTGATTCCGTGCACAATGAGAAGAGTGTACACGATAACGTAGAGGTGGTGTGCATACCAGAAGGCGTTGAAGCCAGTGAGCTTCTTGACAGGTTTGGGCAGATTTGGGGTGCCTCGCCTCAACCATGGCGATGCAAGTGCAAAGGCTATTCCCATCAATACCACCATCACAATCCCTGTCCACCCTTCTGCTCCCTTTACGAAATGCCAGTAACTTGAAGGCTGGTCCCCGAAATATTGCTTCATTAGCTCATCATATTTCTCATGATCTTCATCAATAAGGCGAGGAAAGTCACACGCTAAATGAAAAATCCCATGTATCCCAACCCCAATTCCAACTGCCACTGCTATTACCTAAAAACAAAATTCCCTGATTATTGAATACAAATACACACACACATATCTATCATGAATAAGACACGGAGTATTAGAATTACTTGGTGGAAATTTATGTTGTCATCAAATGGAACGGCGATGCCTAGTTTGGTCTTGTTTCTGAGCCAGGTGATGGTGTTTCGGCAGACTGGTAGTAAAATCAGAGCCATGTTCAACTTGAGGGTCTCGGCTGCCCCTTTTGCCATACAAACGCAGTAACCCATAACCTCATACGCAGCTCTATTCCGATACTGCACAAACTTGTATGCGAATAGCCCCAACATAACCGCAATCCAGAGTCCTAAAACCCAAGCCCTCTGCCAGTTATCCTCCAAGAAATACTTGAAGTCCTGATACCATCTCGTTAACGTATTGTTGTCTTGAGTAGGCCGAAGTTTCTCACTCAGAATTAGGCTGAAGATCCGGCTTTCGCCTCTTTCAGGATGGTTTGGTGCTTCCAACAATAGCGTCTCCAAGTTTTCTATCTGTGACAACATTGTAAGAGATTGTCATTCATAAAAACAGATTGATTCCTACTTCAATCATTGAAATTGGTGCACTATTTATAATTTACGTTGCTTAATGCTGTGTACCTTGATGAATTCATGATTATTTGGATCTAACGCCTCCACGATCAAGGCTGCATATTCGTCGGCTTTTTCTTGGATATTTAGGTGGTTGGCGGAAGCACTGTGGCTGATAATCTGCATAAACAAATTATTGTTTCATCAAGATAGAGAGAAGAAGATGCCAATTTGACAGAAGCACTGCAAACTATTTATTTTTCTGTTTTGATGGAGAAACAGTGGAACTTCAAAACACATCATCTTTGGACTCAATAAGCTGACAGTTCAACATATATGTGTGTATACACACACACACACACACACACACACACATATATATATTGTCATACCTCTTTGACTTCTTCTTTACTGATTCTGCCATCTGCATCTTTATCAACCCTGCAACAATTTGAGATTTCCATGTCAACAAAGCAAGTATACGATGATAATAAAGGAAACGATTCATGTATAGAGTCTATAGACACTATTCAGTGGACTTTCTAGTTTCTTACATGTCCAAGAAAGTTTTAAGCCTAGAGTCGAAGCTCTGATCTGAGATTTGATCCCAAAACTCTTTTAGCTGTTCCTTGTTGATTTTTTCACCTTTTATGTTCCGCCTCCTGGCAAGCGCATCGAAGAGCACACCTGCAAAGTCTTCCGACTCCTTTTTCATCCCTGCCATTGAGTTGATATTAGAATCTATTCAAAACACTGAAATTTAAAAAAAAATAAAAAAAAAGTTATCGAAAAACTATGCTAATGATGGTAAGAATTTGTGTTTTACCTATGCATTCGTAGAAGTTCGCACGATGAAGCAAGCCACCGGTGGAAGCGGTGAGCTTCTTGAACTGGCTCTCCACTTTGGCCCATCCAGCGTCACCATCGGTCTTGCTGATGAACTTGAGCCCCATTAAAGCATGAGCTGCAGCCGACTTGTTCCTGTCGAAGCTCCTCGCCTTTGCTCGTTTGGACAACGAAGCAATGCGCTTCACCTTTTGAGCCGCCTTCCTTAACCGTGAGGTAGCTTTCCCGAAAGAAGACATCTTCTCGACGCCTTTGGCCTGCAAACTCGGTTCAGAATCTTGAACGTCAGCTCCGGCAGTGGTCTTGACGTTGTGATCTGCGGCCGATTCATCATGGACGTCGATGGTGACATCGTCTTTATCCATTTTCTGCATTGGACAAGAAAAAAATTAACAATAATAATCTTCACAGAATGTTTTGACAAAAATGTTGAGAGTTTGTGTATGAGCAGTTTTTACTTACAGTAGTTTTTGAAGTCTAGCCTTCTTAATCTCCAAGAATGACTTCCACTATATATGTAAGTTTACAAACTCTATCTGTATATATATAATCTTACAACGCACTGCTATTTATTTGGCATGCAACAAAGTTCTAGAGAGCCTGACCTGCCATCGATTATGTCATACCCTATGACGAATGTATTACCATCTTAATATATTAAAAAAGACTATGTCACACTCTAATTATTGTTTCGTTATTATTGGGACTAGGCTAAACATATTACACGGTTCTACCTTTTCTCCACATGGTGGGAGCCTAACATTTTTTCCTACTTAGTGCTTAACAAATTATAATATTATGAGTTTACATCAGGTCTATCACTTATTTTTTGTCGGTCGGTAGGAGTCTCTAGCTTGGTATGATCTCCCCTTTCAAAAATGAAGTTGAGAGTTCGAGTCCTATTGAAATATAACATCAAAAATAAATAAATTATATAAGTTGGAGTTGGTATGATCTCTCCCTTCAAAAATGAAGTTGAGAGTCTGAGGGGGCTTAAAACCTTGTTAAGAGTTATTAAGAATATGATGTAATAATTGGTAACTCCCGCTAAGTCTAAGGCTTCTAAATGCGAGTTTGTTGAAGTTGCGACTACATAATCATGAGTTACTAGAACAATAAAACATACTATCATGTACCCAGGACACAAATACTCAAAACAAGATCTTCAATAATCAATGGTTGTACCATAACCTCTTATCAGACCCTTGGTCCTACCTAATACACCTTGTCACCTGAGACAAATCCTCTGAATCCACACTGTCACACCGACACAACGCATAGTACCCTGCTCTCACTATCCTTGACTAATCGAAACAATCATTGACCTTTGACCCGACATCGTGCTAAAGAGGGACTGATTCAGGAGAAATGGTTGGCCAGGCCATTCTCATCATCGATCCGACCTCAACACAGACGTTGTTTTTGTCCTCAAGTCCAAACCTCAAACACAATTTCACACGGTGCACAAAACAACAATGAGATCCACTCACTATCAATCCATCGCTCTACGTAACCTCATCAACTATACAGTCATATATCTACTTTAAGAATCCCAATCATGTCTTAATCACACAATCATAACAAGCTAAAAGCAATACGACACCAAATACCACAATCATCGACCGGCATACAAGTTTGATCTCCTTATAACATCCATACCAGGTAGACAATTCTATAACATCATTCAATTTAATTCTTACCTCGTCAAAACACACAGTACGACTATCTCATGCCTGAGAACTTGAAACCAGAGTCAATCACTACTATTACTCTTCAAAGGAATCATACATTCACATTTCAAATCATAAAATCCTGAGGCGATACCGACACTAGTCCTCAAAACACTGCTCAAATCAATCGTCTATAAAAACACCCAAGTACATGACTCACATCACATCACCTAATCATCCTCAAACGTACAATTCACGACACATCCCCTAGCCTTCACTGCTAGTACCAGACACTAGAAACACACAATCCCTATTCGGCAACTCGTGCCTCATACGCCACTAGTCAGAACCACTTTCAGAACAAGCAAAACAAAAACCAAAGACTCCACCTCCTTTCGTGGGAGTGAGTCAACCCCATTCAACCAAACCTTTACTAATGAACTCTGACAGTAGACCAACCCACACACGGGTCAGCCCATCCGCGGACGCGCACAACTCCTTGATGGAGGACAAAACATACTATAAATGATGTCCTTGTCAAGACTAGAATAAATGGAAGGGTAATGAACCCCGCACTCACCAGAGACTAACAACTCGTACCCGAATGTAACCAACACCCTATCACACGCTACTCACCAATCATCCAACCATGAACACCCAATCTCACCTGAGATGAAATGAACTCCTTACACACAAGGAGGAGGACCAACCAGATACCCGTACAGAACTATGATATCGAATCTAGGCAATTTTGCCACTAACGGACCGTCAAACACAATTAACATCGGAACTACGCAGACGCTACTTCTCAACACCCATGGTAACTAAAACCAATCAGATAAGAGCACCAATGCTCACGGCACACTAACTCTAGAAACAATCACAACCTTTTGGACACCGCGTCCCGTTCCATCTAGAACCCGTCACTCCCAAATGACAACCTCTATGCTATAAACGACACTTTACCACCTATTCCATCTCTTCCTTCCCAGGTGATACTGCCTCGATCACCGTGCACAAAAGACCCTTGACTTCAGCTATGATAACCCACTGACTCGTCAAAAGAAAAAGATGCATATATGGCAACACTGCCCTCACTGGCTCTATAGACCAAACCATCCACAATCGTTTCAACTAGCGCATAATCCCATCACCCACCTGACATCACACAACAAACAACTCATACTCTCTAATCTACCCTTGGATCATACCTTAAACCATTATGTTCATCAGTGCAAAACATCCCGCCATAACGCCTCTACTACCATCATCCTTGAATGACAACTCGAACTCACGTCCCACCAACTCAACAGGCTACCGCTAAACGATCTCCCCTCAAGTATCCATAGGATGACACAATCACAACAAGAGAGTATGCCCCACTCTCGATACTCCCCACAACAACCACTACTTACTACCAGAAAAAAAGCTCTATACGACAACGCCATGCCGACAAATCACAAAAGAAAAGTGAGCACAAACTCCAGAATGCTTAACACCCAACTGTCTCCTCAAGACCATCAATAACACAATCAGTCACTAACGCTTAACCGGCTACTCAAACCACTCTTCCTAAGGTAATCTATATGCCTAAACAAGAAAACTTCACGCCTTAGGTTCAACATCATTATTTCTCCTCTGCACTGTTCCTCAAAACACCCTTGGCCCCGACAAAAGTTAAATGGGGCTACTAACTAAACCTATGGGATCACCCTCATCCCAATCATTCCAATCGACAGTCTATCTCTTTGGATCCTCAAACAACAAGTACCACCTCCTGATACTCCAGATGCAATTTGGAATACAACTTCTATCCATATCTTTCAATTTCTAAAACGTAATCCATTTGGTACACCATACCTACCGTCAATCACTTCATCCGCAACTAACCAAGCACTTCAATGACCCTATGCTACTTGCCTTATCGTGTAACCTTGCACTACACAGCTAAAACTGACCACTATACACCACCTCGAGACTCTCTAGACAACCGTGCCAACCCATAACTCCACTCATCGACCGAAAGATGCAATCGACTCACCGAGAGTCAATTACCCACAACACACTCCTGTAACTCTCCGAAATGGGATCATCCCTCAACTAACCATTCTCTAAAACATACTCTTATAACCTATGAATTGAATCACATCAAACAGTCAATCATTCAACACTGGAAGGACTCCAGTCAATGCCTACGTCACACCAGACCTACTGAGTCCAACAAATCCCCTTAACAACCATGACCAACATGATTCCTTAGACTGTACCAGAATACTTGAAATACGCGTCTATAACCCATAGATTACACTCGTGACTCAAACAACCTCAATCACTCCTACTACAAACCGGTTCGAAGAGAACCTCAGTACTAAACCGTGACCTAAGTCACAAACACTAACCCCTAAAAGTCATACATGCCTCATGAAAACCTCACATCATACACCTGACATCCACGATCACAGGAACCGACACGCTAACACATGAAACTCATACGTCCCACCCTGGACATCGGACTGTGCCATATGGAATCATTCGAAAGTCGTGCTCCAAGCACTACGCCTAAAAAACAATGAGAAAACTGAAGCAACCATGCATCGAATAGCTCGATCCACGAGCTAAAGACCTACACCATTCGTTCGATAAGAACTGGCACCCAAACAACCCTGAAGTAATCGAGCTCCTCGCTTACTCAGGTCAAATCTCACACAACCTACGCCGCAACAAGTACTCTACCGTACCGGCAACCATCCTTTACTCGACCGCATACTCCTATACACACATACATATATATATAATAATTGTACTTCATAATTGTCATCTTATCACAATTAACATGCTTTCAGATCATGTATACACTTCGTTTACATATACTGGCATCTAAACACGTAAACACTTAGCAAATGGGCATGCCTTCAAAACCGTAAACATATAAGCAAGTAGCAAGTAAGCATGTTTCATAAAATATTAAACACATAAACACAAACACATAATCAATGTAGGTCAACCTTCCACCCCTCTAGGCAAGCCACTATCCGTCGTTCGAAAGGTATTTGAACCTAACGCTTTGATACCAAATTTGTAACGACCCGAACCCGAGGGTCCGAATCGCTAACCTGGTCCTTACCCGAACCCGAGGTCATCTAAGGCATTATCGTCCTTTTCTATGTCAATGCATGAAATAAATACGTCATCCCAAGACTTATAGTACATCATATCATTAACATCACAGAAAACTTACAAATGCAGGTGGAATGGTAGCGGCGTCTAAGTCCATTGATACAAGTCATACGTTTATGCTCCTCCAGTTTCCTGAACATGTTTAGGATAAGGGGTGAGCTCAACAGCTCAGTAGGTAATGCCTAAAACACCGGTTTTGGACTCCCTTGAGCCAACAACCAAAAAACAGGAATAGAAAAAGAAGCCGGGGTCATGCAATTAGAGTTCATACAACATTTATAACATAATAATCAATACACACAGTCATATATCACAATTCTTCAAAATCATGCATATTATATGAAGTGTGATGCATCCTATCCCAAACTTGGTTTATACCGACTCAACACTCATTTTTCGAAAACCCGCTAACTGACTTTACCGAGGCGAGATTGATAGCTATCCTCGGTTCCAATTCTGGTAAAGCCTGGCAACTGTTAAAGGGCCTAGTATCAACTCTTTCATACCCTATACCAGGCCGTGCTCCCTTTAGGTCAAGCTAACCCTGGATTCGCGAAATCCGGTTTATTTCTAAATCCTTTCCTCACAATCCTTTCCAAACACATTTCTTTAAAAAAATCATTTCAACCTCACTTTTCCCAAACCATGCCCATGCCATGAATGGAATCATGCATGAATGAAATTGACATACACATGCTTGCATTTTACCAATTTAGCCATATATACTCATCATCGTCATTATGTATATACATATAACCTTAAAAAAACAT